TGAACTCCAGACCTCTCGCTTCCTAAGCGAGCCCGAAAACCCTTCAGCCACGGTTAAATTTATATGTGAACGGCCTGAAGAAAACCATATTATTCTAAATTAGGGCTTGTAACGACTTTTAACTGTTGTTTAACACAGATGTAAATAATCCTGAAGCTTACTATAAGCATGTATATTTATAAAGAATCAAAGGGCTTCATGTTCTTTGGTATTTTCTGATCTTTGCAATCTAAATCGTACTGTATATCTGTATGCATTTTCCTGTATAAGTTTATTTTTGTGTATTATAATTCATTTTGTAAGGCACATACGGAATTCTGCATAACTAGAGTTGCATCAAAAAATCATTTATGTACTTTTTTTACGACAGCCACACTTTATCCTTGTAAATCATGGCTACTTCCTTAACAAAAACAATTAAAAAAAGAATTTAACCAAAAAAAATTTCCTCGACTGGGATTCGAACTCGAGACCTCTCACTCACTAAGCGAGCGCGTTACCACTGTACCACGGAGAAGTTATACACAGTATGTCTGAATAATATCAAGTCATTCTAAATTTAGAACTTCCATTGCATTCAGGTTTGTAATCCTTATTAGTTTCGAGGTATTTTGTTCAGGGTAAACCTGTTGTTTAAAGTTGAAGTAAATATTTTAGCGAAAATCCTCTCGCCCAAACAGTCCGACATGTAGAATCTATATATTCCACTACTCGGTTTGTGTAGTATTCGGTAATCTACATGGCTAAAAATAGTATTTTCATTGATAAAATCATATTCATCCGCGTAATTTGTGATTGTGCATTTATTGACAATTCTATAAGCCAACGCTATTGTTTAACTTTAAATGCGTTGTAATTTGTTGGATACTTGTAACAAAATAAAATATTTCTTTCTTTTAAATCGCTAGTTTTAACAGTTTTGAGAACTACTTGTTGTTAGGTTTGTCATAAACTTCTGTGTCAGAGATTGAATGTCCGCTTTGTATTTAGTTATTTTCGATCAGAAAATACCAGAAAACAATATTAGAAATCTTCGACCATTCGGGAATTACTTTGCTTGAAAATTGATGCGCCTGTCTTTGACCATCTTTACGCAGTGATCTCCCCTGAATTTTTCGGCTTTAGTGTACATACAAAAGGGAAGTAACCGCTTCAAAAAAGTGGACTACTTTCGGCATTTGCAATTAAGAACATTAGACTCTGAAATTTCGCTACCATTATTTGTTTGGTCTGACGACCCAAACAAATAAAAACAGATTGGTTTATAATCTCACAACCTTCACCTTTCTGACATTCTTAGACCCATGCAAACAAATTCAGCGCCTTCTGTGTTTTGATTAAGGATATGATGACTTCAAAGAAATAAGATATCAATGGAATTCTTCAAAAGTAACTACAATAGCTTGCATCAGTTTGCTGATTTTACATTGCGACTTGTAGATCTCTAGCTTATAATATAAAAGCTTGTAGATCTCTAATAATATTAATAATTTTGACATTTGATTCGAAGCATTGATTGTACTGTCCACATTAACTCAAGTGGTCGGTTATGCCAGGTGGTAAAGGTTGTCAATTTCAAGTGTCACTAACTTGCTCATCATTGTTGTTTGAATCTTACCAAGAATTTTCTAATGTGACAGGGGATCATAAAATATTCCAGCTTGCTTACAGAAGTTTCGGGTGTATTTACATAAGTATGCCAAGGCAATTATAAGTGACTGAAATTGTGTGCAGAAATTATGCACAAAAGAGCACTGTCTTTGCTAAATGAAAGTGGTCCTTGAAATTATAGAATGTTCTTTAATCTGTTTGTTGGATGTATTAATACCAGACTGAAAACAACAACAACAAAACAATAAAATTTGAGTCCGTAAACTTAACTGCATTGCTAAAATAGAACTTGAAATTACAGTAATAAAAGAATAAATGCAAAAGTTTTTGTTTTTATCTCAAATTCATCTGACTTGTTGAACAAGCTGTTTCCTACTGTATTATATTGATCTATAACAATATCTTCAATATTCTGTTTTATGGTGTTTTTACTGTTGACTGGGTGCTGTTGCATATAGTATAATCAATTTCCTTAAATAATCCTGTTATTTAATATACTATAATACTTGTCTGAGTGAGAAGGAGCTTTTCTTCTGTCAAACTTTGTATAGAAAACTAATTTAACAACAGAGATGCATTCCTTAAAGCCGTATGCACTCAGATTCATTCTAAATTTTCAATTTCAATATTTTATTTAATCATGAAACAAAAGCAACAAGACAGAAATATGGGGTTTGAAGTACTCATTTTTGACCAATTTAAATGTTCCGACGGCATAGCACAATATGGAGAGCCCTGGCATTTTATGAATTGCTGGTAAAATCTTAGGGTGAGGTAAAAATGAGCCGTGTCACCACAAAACCAACATAATGGTTTTGCGACCAGCATGGATCCAGACCAGCCTGTGCATCTGATCAGGATCTATGCTGTTAGCTATCTAAGTTTCTTTACTTGTTATAGGGTCTGTAAGCTAACAGCATGGATCCTGATCAGCCTGCGCATCCTAGGCTGGTCTGCATGCTGGTCGCAAACCCATTATGTTGGTTTTGTCGTGACGCGGCTCAAATCTTTGTAACAATTGATCTTTGGCATTTAACTTAACTGGTCATTTGCCTGTAATTGCTGCAATTCATACAGAAGTCATATGTCTTTGCCACCATGGCACAAATCTGGAAGCGTGCAGCTTTAAGGTGACAATAAGCTGAAGTAATTAAAACTGAGGACCTTGGTTTTTTTTATTACGAGGTTAAATTACTAGCCAAGCTTGATATTAAACAACATTGAGCTCTTAAGTGAGCTCTCTGTATTTTATTCTTTCAGCAATATTTAATTGGATTTATGAAACCTTTCTTAATTAGTTGGATAGGAAGATCAGCTATATATATGAGCAGTATAAGTTTTATATAGAATTTACTTTATATTATATGAGATTTTGAGCTTGAGCCTAAGACAATGTTTTATTGATTACATATACATGTATAGCATGGTTGACATTTTGTTTCTGATGTTATTCAGTGAGATAGAGTCATAATTAGGAGTTTAGTTTTCTGAAATAAGTGTACTTTTATAAAAAAAGTCTAATAGGCAGGTCTATAATGAAGATTTGAAAGTGATACTGAAGGGTTCAATGATTGAACCACGATCTGGAATGGCAAAATTAAGTTTTCCTAGAAAATATGGAAATGTTGAACCAATTTAGTTCTTTATTGAAGCTTTGTTAAATTATGTAGTACTTTACCAAGGTCAAGGAGGCGTACTAACATTGAAATAAGACAGTATCGTCCCTTTGAAATATAAGTCATTTTCACAATTACTTTGTTATTTTTTAATCATTTTAGAATCAGTCTTATACATTTGCATTTTCACAAACACACTTGCAGGTCTGCAAAATGTTACAATAGTTTTGTATGACCTTTTGTATTCTGTTAATTCTGAAATACAGTATACTTGCTGCTGACAAATTCCAGAGAAATCAGAGAGAAATCTAAATTGCCCTTGGTATGTGACTTGTCACATTCAAAACAGGCATTGATTTAAATTATTATGACACCATGCAGAAGGAAAAGGGAAATTTGTCCCTGGGCTCCACTTTAATGAACTGTCTATATAATAATAAGTACTGAATAGTGAAGCAGACTACTGCATTAAATGAATGAATTTAAACCTTTAGTAACACTTTAATGACTAGGGTAAAGATACTTGTGTTAATTTATAAATATACATGTTCATTCCGTACAAACTTGTACTTGTGGGGTTGCACAAAATTGAGGTTGTTTATGAGGTGAAAATTCGTTGTTTATGGGGTTTTTGAGATAAAAAAAGATCAAAGAAAAACTCCATAACGTCAACATAGGGCGAACTTCTATCTGTCTGTCTGTAAAAAAATTTGGATATTGCAATAATTCAAAAAGTTTCCATTCTAAAATCAATAAAGTTATATCTCACATGTACTAATTTAGATGATTTTATTTTGAATCAATATAATGCAGCTTAAGTTAAATGGTCATGTTAATTTTCATGTATGATTTTCAGATTTAGTTTATACAGAATTTATATTGTTTTGATTATGAAGGAAGCTATAAACTTCTAGACACACTGTCAAATCAGTTCTTGCAACCAACCGGCACTTGTATGTAATGAGTGTAAAGTTTTTAAATGCTGAAATAGGATTTGAACCTGGCTGTAGGATTTGAACCCTCACAGCCATCAAGTCTTAGATTTCTAGTCCGATGTGTTAACGACTAGACCACAATGTTACTTAATTCAAATTTAAGATACAGATTTTATTCTTTTCAAATTATATATAGAGTATCAAATTTGTGATCAGTTTAAACAATTGATTTTGAAGAGATTCAGGAAAATGGTAACTTGTACTTCCGATATTATATGGTTTATTATGCCACTAATGTCAGTTTGAAGTGGTGTATGAATCATTTATGAATAAATTCATTAAAATCATTGTTAAGTTAACTGACTGTATTTTCATAATTCATAAACGTTATAGATTGGATTCTCTTGTTTCATTAAGATTTTAATATTTGAATTACATAATATCATATGCGCCATTTTGTATTTTTGTATTGTAAGCCCTTTATACTTGAAGTGGGCAGATTGGGTTGAATAATGATGGGAAAACATTAGTATGGGTTTTCATGTATCTTACTGTAATAAATATTTTCCATATCACTTACTGCAATGATTTACAATACATATAGTATACCACTATAAACAATAAATATTTTTATAATACTTACTTTTTAAATCACTCACTTTAGTGAATATTTTCCATGTCATTTACTACAGTGAATACTCCTATGTTCTTTACATGACAGTGGGTAATACAGAGGGTATATTTTCTTTTCATATATCTCTAGTGAATGATATAATATATTTTTTTGTATTTCTCTTTATATATCGGCCTCAAAGGTGCTTTCTTTTTTATTACATTGAATGATATTTTTCATATTTCTCACTACAATGAATTTTATAATATTGTTTATATATTTCTCTTTACAGTTCGACCTGAAGGGTATGGAACATGAGGGGGCCTATGTACAGAAACAGCAACTACATGCGGCCCAGGCCAACTCCCAGCTTGAACATAAGTGCAAGCTGGACATCGACTCCGAACCCAATACAATCCGTATGACGGGAATTATTTGTACCATAGGTATATCAGAATATTCCATTTTGATTTATTAGACTTATATTTCACTAACTAGGATATTTGGTTAAAAAATAAAAGCTGGCCTATACTGTAATGTTCACTTAAACTGGTTCATTGTAGGGGAAGTGGTGGCCTAATGGTGTAAGTGTCTGCCTTCTCAAGCCAGGGTACGTAGGTTTGTACCATACTAGGGGCACAATTGTATATCTTTATATGAAAATGGGGCGTCCCTGGCCGAGTGGTTATGGTCATTGCCTTCAAACCACATACCCCTCACTGCTGTGGGTTCGAATCCTGATGGGAACTTTGAATTCTTTCATGTGAGGAAGCTTAGATCCAGCTAGCTTACTGAAAGTGGTTCTTCATAGGTACCCCGTTCTTTCCTGAAATAATGCACGGAAGGGCACCTCAGGTTTTCCTCCACCAGTAAAGCTGGAACGTCACCATATGACCTATACTATGTCGGTGTGAGGTTAAAACCAATGAAACAAACATAAAATTATGACAATTGTACTGGTTAGTTTTAGGAAATAGACTTTAGAGTAATTATAATTTATGAATTATATGACGAACTTAAAAATTTACATTGTGATATTGTTAAAAGTGATAATGAATTGGAAGTTTGACTGGTCCATTCACCAAATAGCTGAATGGATAAAAACTGCATTGAAATATAATATGCCATCAATTTGTTTGTTGTAATTGTAACAGGTCCAGCATGTCGTGAAGTGAAGATGTTACAGAAAATGATCATCGAGGGAATGAATATTGCCCGTCTTAATTTCTCACACGGAACTCATGAGGTATATTATTATTGTATATGCAGACTGATATATATATGCTTATATATTATTATTTATAAAGATTGTTGACAGGTTATATGGCCCTATATAAATGGCTGTTTGTATATATTACCCGAGCCACCAGGCGAGGGTTATATTGCAAACAGATGTTCATATAGGGCCATATAACCTGTCAACAATCTTTATAACGAATTTATAATACGGCAAGCATCATTTTGTGGAGAAAAAGTAAGAAAAAAACGTGTTTACTCCTAAAATAAACAGTTAAACAAAACAGCACTATGGTTACAATATGTAAAACTTTTGACAGATCAAATTAGACAGCTTACAAATCAAGGGATTGCAGGTCCAATTCCCTACTATACTTTAAGAAGAGACTTTAAACTTATCAGACTTAATACACAGTGCTTGTTAAAGAACAGTTGCATTGTGGGTTTGAGCTATTTTTAGATCACACCGATGCTTCCCGAGGAAGTGAATTCATATTTGCTCTAATAAGCTCCCACCTATTTGTGCTCTGTGTCTTCTATAACTATCATTCTAGACTGACTTGAAGCAGAAAGTAAAAAGATAAACAAAGCTGACAACACCTTGAACCTTGTTATATGATTTATAATTAAACTAAACTCTGCTTTTAATGATATTCAGTGTACCACTGAATTTATATTGTTATATATAGATATCAAGACTCCCACTTTCTGCAGCCATATTTTCAAAAAATTTTCTTAAAATAAGGGGTATTTTCATAAATTAAAGAAATCTCCCTATTTTTAATGTCAGAATTTCCTTCTTTGTTAATTGCAAATTCTTAAATCTCCCTCTTTTTGACGAAAAATCTCCCACTTGATCATCGAAAAAAGTGCACATGTATTACATGAGTATGGACCACGGAAAAAGCATAGTTATAAGCGGTATATTGTTAAAAGCAATATCATTATAAGTGGAGTTTACTATACATTTAATTTGAAATGGTTTCATTTTAGTTTTTGCTACCACTACTGTATATTATTCCTTTTTATTGTTCCTATGTATGCTATTATCCATAGACTTGCTAGAGAGATAACAGCCTTTATCCAGTAATTGCCACGAAAATTTATTATCTCATCTTCTATAAAATTCAGTTATTATTCTTTTTTTCAGAATATTTATAAATTACCGTAAAATTTCCTATTAAACGCCCCCGGGGGCTTAACATTTTCCAAAAGGGGGGCTATTATTACAACACGTTTTTCCTAAATCCAAAAATCATTGAAAATACATTTAGTGTAACATGGGTTGGTACTAACATTAAAATGTGTTAAGATTTTAAAGTTCATGTGATACATTTTTGTGTTTACTATGAAATAAAATGGATTCTGAAGGATTTGAATAAGATTACGGATTTATTAAAGAGTTCACCACTCATGAGCAGATTTTTTTCCATATCGAAAAGCCTGGGGGGGGCTTTTATTAGGGGAGGGGCGTTTATTAGGAATTTTACGGTATTTGTAAGAATTATTTAGTTGCTTACAATTTTGTTATGGTCTAGACTACATTTCTGGAACAAGTTCTTATTTAATCAAGTAGCACATAGATTTGAGATGGCTAAAAATAGAAACATTGGCTAAAAATAGAATACTCTGGAAAATATATTTACACCTTGATATTGTGCTTGTTATTGATGAGCATGATTCATTTACATGATGGTTTAAATAGAACACTGATTTTAAATAAAATTTTTGTATAAATTCTCACAGAAAAGTAAATTCCATGACAAAATGCAGTAAATTTCAGGTTATTTTTTTGCATGTAATTAATGAACTTGATTCATGCCTGGGAATTTATTTAGGATAATCAGCTCTTATGAATAATATTAGTTTGACATGCAATGTAGTACAAGTGCTTAAATCTTTGCATGTCCTCTGGAAATATTCCATTTTTAACATGACTTTTTGGAGAATAGTGGTGGCAATTTCAGCATTATCAAGGCCCCCTAGGGGGTGCTAACAAAAAATATCAGGATCAAGTTATCTTGATTTTATTTTCATTCCTTTATGAAACTTATAATCGTTATGCTGATGAATTAAATGTAAGCACTTGCAGATTTGCAATGAAACAAACACATTTTAGGATAAAATTCAATGTAGAAAAATAATAGAAATTATGATTTTAGCTGGTTCAAAATAAGAATCAATTTTAAGGATCTAGATTATTATTTTGGATCAACTTTTAAAGGTTTGCATCTTGTAAAGTAATAAATCTTTATAGAATTTTACCAACCTATGCCATTTCAAGTCCACAAACTTATTACTAAAACAAGATTTAGAAATTTTGAAATATAGGAATTTTGATCCTGTTCTTTAATTTTGTTTGAGCACGGGGCACAGGATCTTGTTTTACACTAGAAAGTATTAAAATAAAAGTATTATATTTTTAATGTATTCTACTTTATTATATGATTATGATTTAACTTTTTGTGTTTAAATTTATATTGACAGAGTTACTTGTTTTGGATACAATAAAAAAACCCTTAGTTGAATTTTCAAGACACTTTTCACTTTACCCAGGCATTGTGGAATATTTATTATGGAAGATCGGCTACCTTAATTTTGCACAAACCCTGCGCTATTTTTCTACCAAACCAAATATTTAAAGCAAGAGCTGTCATTGTTTATAAAGCATATACAGTGCAACATTCAAAGAGCAAACCCCCTATAGACCAATTACCTCATTATAACAAATGTTTTAATGTCTTTTAGAAGTCAGGCTAAAAAATTGCAATGAATATAACCTTTCTAGAGCAGCACCTTCTCAACAACAGCCAGAACCTATGTCTTCAAAAAGTGGGTTGCTCTACAGAGGTTGTACTGTGTGCATTTCTTGTACTTAATTATTTTTTCTTTCCATTAAACATAATTGAATAAAAATACATTTCAAAAAAAGAAGAGTATAAAATTGGCATAATATTTTTACGATGAAAACAATGTACATGTATATATAAAACAGTTTTGATTCTTAACCTGCTTAGGCCAAAAGTTATAAGCCTTTGCCACAAGTATGGTTATTCCTGAGCTTGTTCCTCTGTGCATTCTGACTGGAGACCCTTTTATGACTTTTTGAAGCCCATTTTATATGTAAATTTGATACTGAAATACCTATATTTTCAAATAGACTGTTCCACATTCAAGGTGGGGCAAGTCCATTTCTTCAGCAGGTAAAGGATTAATCTATATACATGTACTTACTTTATTGTGTTCACTTCAAGCTAGAACAATGACAGCCCTGCATAATTACTAGAAAAAATGTTTCTGGGAAATCTTTCATTCTTGTGAAATCGTTATTTTGTAAATTAATGTATTTCTAACAATTAGGCTGCATAATTAATTTTAGACTTTACTATGTTATGGTAATGAATTATGTACTAAATGGAAAATTCTGGATTGGTTGAAAAACTTTTTTCAGAGGATGAAAAGTAACGATTTCACTGAAGACCGATATTTTCTTATAGAATTTTATACATGTAGCTTTCCTTGAATATATTATTCACCCATCGCTTCTCTCGCCAGTTAGATTTCCGGTTGCAGATTTCCACATTCTTTTGTTGTTTTTTTTTGTATCGTCGCAAAATGGAGACTTGTGTTTACATTTTAGTATCACAGACAGACCATCGCAAATATTCACAATGCCCTTGACCAGTTCTCAGAGAAGCGAACTTGTGCAATTGCCTTGGATACAAAGGGTCCGGAAATCCGGACGGGACTTAATTCTGGGGTTTGTTTCATTATCTTATTTATATAGCGTGACAATTGATTTACTAACTTTTTGTGTCTTTTCCCAACAGTACCATCAAGGCACTATTAAGAATGTCCGGGAGGCCGTGTCGCAATTTAGTCATCCGCGACCAGTAGCGATCGCTCTGGATACAAAGGGTCCAGAGATCCGGACAGGATTAAACGCAGGGGTTTGTCTTTTGTATTTTCCATTTGTTTCCGGTTGTTGTTATTTTCATAAAACATAGATGACCATTGTTATGAAATAGTTTTGATTTTTCTCATTTGGCTTATCCTTCCATGGGAGGAGATTGTTCTTTCATCCATCAACCTTATAAAAAGGTCAGTGGTTCTTTAACTGAGTTGCCACCTTGTGTCCGAGGTCTTCCTCCCTGTAAAAGCTGGAAATTTGCCCTATAATCTCTACAGTATTTTATATAAAATTTAACAAAATGAATAAATATGGTCATCTGTGTTGAAAGAATGGTGCTTTAATACTAATCTGTATTAATTGTAATATTGAGAAAAAGAAACATTCACTTTTGTACATATTTATTGCTTTCATTACTTATATTTAATGGTATTTATGTGTGCCTTTTGTTTAGTATGGAGCATTCTAGATTTATGAGTTAGAATCTCTGTATGGGCACATACGGGCTGCAAAATCAATTAACTGTATTGCCAAGGTCAATGTCCCACAGCCATGGACAAGTGAAACAATTCTAGAATGTACTTTATTAATATCAAATAGACAAGTAAAGAAATGCTTCAGGTAGAACAAGTAAATCTAGCTTAGATTTCAGCCTGAAGGGCAATTAATTGGAAATGGGGATCTTGTGATTAAATTGACATGAGTTCTAATTAATTGGAAGTGGTGGGACTAGTGGTTTAATTGTGTTGGAGGCAATCAGCCTCATGATGCAATATTTGAAAGTAGGGACCTAGTGCTCCATTCATTTTGGGAGGTTTTTGCCTTGTAGTCTAATATTTGAAAGCAGAGACCTTGTGGTCCATTTAATTTTGAAGCACATGGCCAACTGGTCCAATACTTGGAAGCAGGGGCATAGTTTTCTAATTATTTAGAAATACAGGCATTAAATTTTTACACAAATTTTCTGTTCATACATGGCAATAATAGTACAAAATAGTGAATATTAAAACATTCTTATTAACATGAGAAGACAGGTAATTAGAAGCTTTGATACTAAATATAGATTGATCTAAATTGACAGTAATATTCTAGTTATTATAACTATAAATACAAATGAGCTTTGTCAAGAGATATTGGTCCTTGCGGGCTGAGAAATGATGTCATGATTGAAACAACGATGTCATGAACTAATGATGTCATAATAAATATGAAGTCAACAACATTGCTACGAAATTTGTTAAAAATTGCAACTGTGCCTTAACTATTCATTCGTTTTTCTATGATGCTAGTTCTAAATAATAGTCATTGTCAAGTAAAAAGTGTAAAGTGAAATATGATTCTGCAAGTAAGTGAAAGATTGATTTTGTGACCACAAGGACTAACATTACTTGGCAAGGCTCATAGAAGTGTCACAACTGTTCTTTTAACCAGTTATTTTCACTGAAATTTTATGACTTAAAAGTTTTCACCTATGATATTTAACAGTAATTTAATGTTTATAAAAAAAAGGACTCAAGATTTTGCTTCTTTTAAAGAATATGAAAAAAGTATTACAACATTATAATTGCTTTAAGTACATAAATTAAAAGAGAATTTACCTTAAGTTTTCACTGAAGAAAGAATGTATTAGCATTGTTTTGCTTTGATTTTGGAATTTTAACTTAAAAAGTATGAAAATTTTGCAACCCTAGTCTTGAACCTTGTCAGACTGCATAGATGGCAAACTTGTCTGGCACAATGCTGGTGGTAGTCCAAGCAATATATTGCAGTTGGCATCTGGAGGGTTATCGAAAAGTTTTGTGTTAGATTCTGAACATTGTGTTGGACATATAAATTAATACTGAAAAAAAAAATTTAATATTCAATAGCATTCTAATTGTTTGTATCATGTTTGTCTACCTTAGCCATACACTTTTAGTTCTATAGATTATGTGCCTTTTACAAATTCGAGTTGAAGAGTGTTTTTGTTTTAAACTTGTAGATTTTAATATTTTGTTAGTATAAGCATGACAGTGCTTATATATTATGTGCAGATTTTTACAGGCACGAATTGGCTTTATACTTGCCATGTAAATGCTTTTGCTTACTTTTAATTCTTAGAGACAGATATATTAGCTATTTAAAATCATAAATATTTATAGAATAAGGACAGATAATTAGCTATTTGAAATTATAAATATTTATAGGATATTATTTTCAAGGAATTTCAAGATTTCTTTGATTATAGAGAGAAAGCTGATTGTGATAATGAATTTGATTTAATGTAACACTGTTTTAATTCTTATTTTAAAAATAACAAAGTTACTATAGCTTTACATTTAATCCAGGAAATAATTTTCTGACACAGATTCATAAGATGTAATAAAGATAATCTTTAAAATGCTTCCTGAATCATACACTAAATTTTGTATAAAGTAAATAAATCATTTTAAATGTTGAATATGTTGGTTAAAAATGTCTAGCTTATGATTGCTTGAAAATATAGTCAGATTAGTCAAATATTAATCACTTTAAAAAAAGTCTTAGTAGATGATTCTTTGAAAATATAGGTCAGATTGTAGAAAATAGGTCAGATTGTTGAAAATATAGGTCAGATTGTTGAAAATAGGTCAGATTGTTGAAAAGATATGTCAGATTGTTGAAAATAGGTCTGATTGTTGAAAATATGGGTCAGATTGTTGAAAATATAGGTCAGATTGTTGAAAATAGGTCAGATTGTTGAAAAGATATGTCAGATTGTTGAAAATAGGTCTGATTGTTGAAAATATGGGTCAGATTGTTGAAAATATAGGTCAGATTGTTGAAAATATGGGTCAGATTGTTGAAAATATAGGTCAACTATGATGAAGAAAACATATAACATATGATTACATGAAAATATAGGTTAGATTTGTTGAAAATATAGGTCAAATTTAATTAATTATGAAAATATCTAGCAATATTGTGATTGGTTTAGATTTGTAAGGGCAAGTGTAAGCAAGTCAACAAATGAGAATGAAATGGAAGAATGCTAAAATGCTATAACTTGATTTATTATATACTTATCAATGAATATTGATGAAATAAAATGCATATTTTCATGTTCGTATTTTCACTGTTAAATATTATTTTCACTGGTGTTTTGCCAGACTACTTTCTTCTAAATTCAGCCAGTACACCAAATTTAAGGGAATTCTTTCCAATTGAAATGGCAAAAAAGAGAAAAATGTATGAAATTAACAGAAAATTCAAGTTGTCTTTAAATACAGGATTTATTTTCATCTTGTGGTATGAAAATTACCATATTTCACTCATGGCTACCACTGCTCATGAGATATTTATTTTCTTACCACTCAATGAAATTAAATCCTGTATTTATAGAAAAAAACTTGAATATCCTCTATATATTCATGACTTAATTTCTTTATAATCACTGTACTATTTATACTTTTAGGGTGCTAGTGCGGAATTAAAACTGGAGACTGGTAAAAAGATAAAGGTTACGATTAATGACGAATATTATGATAAGGGGACGGAGGAATGTATATGGGTAGATTATAAAAACATTGTCAAGATAATGAAAGTAAATGATAGAATGTTCATCGATGATGGACTTATCTCGGTCATCGTTAGAGAAGTCGGTAAGTTGATTTTAATCACATGATTAGATTAAATGGTTTCTTAAGCATTGATTTAAATTTTTGCCGGTTTCTTTTCGACAAAAATGGAGATGAAGTTGTAGAGAAAGCAAAGCAGTTTTAATCTTTTAGAATTTTTACAAATCTTACCTTTTGATATTAGTGTCAAATGGGCAATGGTGCCCAAGTGGATAAGGTGTCTGCCTGTTGACTCTGAGGTTTTGGGTTCAAGTCATATACTCTTGTTGACGAGACCATTTCTTGTCATTCAACCTCAGTACTGGTTTAGTTTCAGGAATATAAGTAGAATTAGTAATTGATATAAAATGTTTTCTAGTTGATGTTTGATTTAATTTTGCTATATTTATGTATAAATGTTTGTTGCCTTGAGGAGAATAAGCTTCATCCCATAGATACCTTTGGTAAATAGAATATATTAATTATTATATATTACAGGGTGCACTAGATAAGATAACAGAACTATTTTTCATTGGAACTACTTTTCTTATTTCAGGGGAAGATTATATGATGTGTGAGATTGAGAACGGTGGAGAACTTGGAAGTAAGAAGGGCTGTAACTTACCTGGAATCTCTGTGGACTTGCCCGCTGTATCTGAGAAAGACATAGAAGATCTCAAGTTTGGGGTAGAACAGGGTGTAAGTATACTAGCTAGCTAATAAACTTTATTTTATGGATTGTAACTACCCTGAAATCATTATGGATTCGCCCAGTTTTATCACATGTTAGTAAAGGACATATGTATCAAGAAAAGTCATTGGTCGAAATCCTTTCACCACTATAAGTTCAAATTTCATAAGGGGCTGTGGAACCTTTATGACATGCGCTATTGAGCAATTATCGTCTAGTTTATGTTTTTTTACACATCTGAAGGGAACAGACGAAAGAAAACTATAAGTCGAGATAAACAAAGGATAATAGTGTGAAAATAACTGTTGGGGCTGAAATTTTACATCGAGATACTGAAAATATCAAAATAAAAATATCGAATATCAAATATTTCCAATAAAGATAAGGAAGGAAGAAAATCAGGACTTTCAAAATTTCATCGAGATAATGAAATATCGAGGAAAGCGATGTCGAGATAATGATAGATCACTGTATGTGTGGTAGCTATTGACAGAGAATTGATAATACTGTTGTTAAATATGTATATATTATCAATAAAAATAAAAATTGAATTGTTATTACAGGTTGACATGGTGTTTGCTTCGTTTATTCGATCAGCAGACGGTGTGCGACAAATTCGACAAATTCTAGGCGAGAAAGGAAGACATATAAAAATTATTTCTAAAATAGAAAATCATGAGGGTGTTAAAAAGTGAGTTTTTGATTTTCTTCCATTGATACGTTACTTTGTCAACATTGTGTGTTGACAAATAAGTTGTTTAGCATAAGTAGAAACCTACTAAAGTAACTTACTCTTTATCTGCTGCTGAGTTCACCAACATAGCTTAACAGGGACAGTCTGGGATACATTATCACGAGGTTTGTTCCTCAAGCAAGGCTAAAAATTCTCTGATAAAATATCTGGGATTGAATCTTATGTTCAATTGTCTTTCAACGCTGGGATTGGGAAAATTAATCTCCAGCATTGTGTCTAATGGTCATTTGTCTATCACTGCTGGTTTAAAATCACTGCTGGTATTATCAGTACACAGTCATTTGTGGAAATAATGGTAATTATTGGTTTGTTAACCAGGAAAGACTGTGAGGTGGATCACTGGCCTCAACATGCCCCCCAAAAACAGTGTAAATCAACAAAAAAACTTCTGCTGCTAGTTTATTGGATAGACAGAGTTGTTTATAAAGTTGTTGATGTTAAATTATTTGCTTTCTGTTATTAAGTGAAGGAATCCTGTTAGAATTTTGAATTTTGCTAGTCTTCAGAGGGTGGTGTTTTTACCTAGTTGATCTATAAGCCAGACACAATATATGGAGTGTCATCATCTGTGGTCTTTCCCACCATTTAAGTGAATGGTAGTTGCAGGAAAAAGGAAACACTTGTTATGACATGATTCGATTTTCTTGTTTGTTTGAAATATAGGTGAAAAAAAGATCTTTGCAATATTTATTTTGTATAATGATGTCGAAATTGTAAATTTTTGTTTCAGATTTGATGAAATTCTTGCAGTAACAGATGGTGTAATGGTTGCCCGTGGTGATTTAGGTATTGAAATTCCCCCAGAGAAAGTTTTCCTCGCCCAGAAAATGATGATTGGTAGATGTAACAGAGCTGGCAAGAGTGTAATCTGTGCTACACAGGTAGGTCACAGGTTATTTTGAAGTCAAGGTTAGATGAGAGGTCATTTGAAGGTCAACTTATGACATGGTTAAATGTAGGAGTCGGAGTTGCAGCAAGACTATAGGTCAAGAGTAAAGGTCTCAAAGAAAGTAATGCAATATCATGACCTTGAAATGTTAGGGTCATTGGAAGGTCACACTCGTAAATAGGTCAAAGCAAGAAACAAATATACTAGCTATGAGACATTATTGCGATGCCATAGTCTGAGAGAGCAAATAAGGATTGTCTGCATATAAAAGCATGAAATGTATCTTTGATTAGTTTGAACTGTCTGATACTAAGTATTTTCTGAATTTGTGTTATAATTACTTTTATTGCAGTTACATAATTTTTGTAATCATTCTGAACACTTTTTGTTTTATAAAGTATGGCGTATGGTCCTTCATTTTATGTTGTAAAAGAAGTTTTTCTCTAATCTGATAACTTTTGATGTCTTTAACTTGCAGTACTGTATTACCTGCTAAATGAAAATTTAAAAGATAGGGATGTAGGTTAAAACAAACATGTAAACAAACATTTTATTGTTTCAGATGTTGGAAAGTATGGTGAAGAAACCACGGCCAACAAGAGCTGAGACGAGTGATGTGGCCAACGCCGTTCTAGACGGAGCTGACTGTGTTATGTTATCCGGTGAAACAGCAAAGGGAGATTATCCATTGGAGGCTTTGAAAATCATGCACAATGTAAGACACTTGTTATAATGTTTTAAATGTATTTTCATATATTTTATATATCAACTGTGGGCAAAGTTTCCAGCTTGAAATTACTTGACCCCCACTGGTACACGTAGGAGTTTCGCAAGTGACTTTGGAAACTTTCATGTTTGGAAGTTATCTAGCTACCTTTTGGAAGGTAAGTGGTTCTACTCACTTGCCAGTTTTAGCCTACAACAATGCATGAATGGGCACTTGAGGTTTTCCCTCTACAAGTTAAAAATTTGAAATACAGCATTTACTGCAGAGTTGGTGTCATTAAAACTTGATTTAGAAGGTTAGTACCTCTCTCAAGTATGCTTCAATATAACAAACAAGTATTGGTGTCGTATGAGAATGTAGTCAAATGTCAGAGTTTTTTGAAAGCTATTGACCAGCTATAAACAAGTGTAAAATAAAAAAGCTTTATACACAACCATAAAGCATTTTCAATATTTAAATAAAGTTTTGCAGCAGGGCATTGCATGCAGATGAAATGGAGATGATAATTATCCAAATGATAATCACGTTTACAAACATACCATGTTATACTTTTCTGTATAAAAAAAAGTCTAGTATAAATTTATAAAATTTTCCCGTTCACAGATCTGTCGTGAAGCAGAGTCCGCTATATTCCATCACCAACTGTTTGAGGAGTTAAGACGTGAAACCCCGACCCCCACAGATCCCCCACATACCGTTGCCGTGGCGGCCGTAGAAGCTTCCTTCAAAAGCATGGCATCAGCTATTATTGTTATAACAACAACTGGAAGGTAGGTTGTCCATACATGTATGTTCAATATGTGTTGAATCTTGTATATATATATATATCAGATTTAACTACCACTTCACCTCACTACAGTTGCCCCTCACCGCTGTGGGTTCGAATCTCGACAGGGACTTTGGATTCTTTCATGTGAGGAAGCTATCCAGCTAGCTTACGGAACGTGGTTCTACTCAGGTGTCTGTTTGTGCCTGAAATAATCCACAGAAGGGCACCTGAGGTCTTCCTCCACCAGTAAAGCTGGAACGTCGCGATATGACCTATACTGTGTCAATGTGACGTAAAACCCAAAACAAACAAAGAAACAAAACCTCACTACAGAGAGCATCAGATTTGTAATCAAAATGTTGGAAAGAGAAATCTATCAGTGACAAATGATATGACAGTAAATCTAAAAGCCATTTGTCTCTCACTGCTTATCAGAAATCATGTTGGATATAAAGTAGCGCTCTTGAGAAATTAGTAATTTCTGGTTAGTTATGCAGGCAAGAAAGTTACGTAGACTGACCTTAAAGAAACAACCAAACAATGAATGGAATTCTGTTCGATTTTGAGTAACACCACCGTAATTCAGGTGACAAAGCATTTTTTTCAGTCTCCCAAGCAGAGAACTTTTCTTCTTTACAATCCGTTAGACCAGTAACTCAAATTCACTTTTACCATTATAAATACAAAATAGGACATTTCTGGAATATTGAAGCAAGTAATAATGGAAACTTCTTCTCTCACAATCGGCCAAACAGAACCATTTTTCTTTTCACGGAAATTAAATGTAAAGGATTTGTCTAAAGTTGGTAAAAATAATTAATCCAGACAAAATAATCTGTACAAAATCAATTAGTCTTGACAAAATGATCACTTGAGACTAGGTCCTAATATTTCCTTGTAGATTTATGTGTAAATGAATGCTTGTAGCAAGCATGTGACAAGCAAGGGTCCCCTTACCTCTTAATGTCTTATTGAAATACTGCAAAATTGTTATTTGTGGAACAAAAATTTTTCCACAGATTTTATGAATAGGTCAATTCAGGATTTTGATTATGTTCTTCAGCATGTTTACTATTAGTTACAGTACAACACCTCTGTAGAGCTTTACACTTTGGGAAACAATCACTTTGTAATACTGTTGTAATAAAGAGGTATTGTTCAGTAGAGGGTCACATTGACACCTTATCCAGATTTTTAGGGTTAACTAAAAATAACCTGGCTACTGGCAATTTTGGTGTTGAAAGAGATGAGGCTAGCTATCTTACTCATAATGACAATTAAAACATTCAGATTTAAGGATAAAGAGTCATTTTCTTACAATAAAATTGGTAACAAAAAGCATTACCATGCAAAAGGTTGTCAAAATATTCGCTAGATAAATAAGCAAATGAAGGAAAATCATGCGGTGAAATGTTAAATATATGAATAATTGTGATTCATTATTATTTCAGATCTGCATTTTTAATCTCAGCGTACCGACCACGTTGTCCTGTCCTTGCCATTACGAGAAACTCACAAACTGCGAGACAAGGACACATGTACCGTGGCGTCTTTCCTATTCATTATGTTGGTAAGTAGAACGTGAACGTTTTCATTTCTCAGTATATAGCAGTTCATCGTAACTCGTGTCGTAATTTTTTGTTTAGCACATATCTGTCTGAATTGGTAAAATGGTCATGGCTTGCTTTGAATAGGAAATTATTTATTAAATGTTTGAGGGATTTTATTTTGAAAATAATTCAAATAGATCGTGCTTTTAATAGTATGGGGCCTGGTCATTTGAAACGAATGCACAGACTGGCTGTGAACTACTTGCCACACATGCAAATAATTATTGCCACTAACATTCTAAAGGGTTGAACCTTAACCTACGGCATTTGTGTAATATAAAAATTGAGCTGGCAACAGTATAGAGGCTGGTCAGACTACACGGTAGTGCCGGCTGGCCTGGCTCTATGCTTGCAGCAAAGGCCAGTCAGGTCCAGTTGCAGTAGGGTAAGGTTTTATATGAAGGTATGAAGTTATGACATTGTTGCTTTGAGCCAATTCTATATTATATCTATACATACTGTACATATCATGTACATATTTCTCTAGTATACATTCGTGTGTTTTTGTGTGTGTGGGTGCGTGTATTCTTTTTCGTTCTTTTTACTTTGGTCTGTTTTGTAAAGTCCCTTTTCTTCTGTTGCAATTTGTTTTGTTTTTTCCTGTGTATGGAATGACTGTGGATTTTGTTTAACTTATTATTATTTTTAGCCCTTATCATTTTATGTAAATGCTTTCCCTTACACATTGTGTGACAAATGAAAGATATAGCGTATATTTATGTTTCATCTGTGACAGCGTATATTTATGTTTCATCTGTGACAAAATATACAGGTATTTCACATTTTTGATCATCTGGGGAAGAAACAAAAAATATATATATATATATATATATAGATCACTGGATTTCAAATACTAAAATAGAATTAAATAAATGTTTATTCTGTATGATTTATTTACAGATATATCATTGGTAATCATTAGAGAAGACAAAAAATTCATACCAATTTTTTTTTTCAAGAGCATTAACAGGATTTCATAGCCTGACTTGTTCTTTTTATGAAAAAAAAAATCCTTAGGATCATGATTAATCATGTTAATTTATCATTGATTCAAATCAAATATTTTACATTTTTTCATTAAACAAATAGAAACAACAATTATCACTACCAAAGATTCAAACTGGGATATTAATTGTTTGTGTTAAGCAGGTATTCAAATTTCGTTTCACTATTATTATTTTCTGTTCATTCGTTCCGTTCAAAAGGAAGTGATGATGGGGATTCGGGTAAAGGTATCTAAATATAGATGTTCATCCATGCATGATTATTATTTGCATGAGTTTTCCTTGTCTGAGTATCATGTTGTTTCAATAAATTTATCAAGTGATACTTAAAAAAGTGTTGAAGCACCACACTAAATAGTTAAATACCGTATTATGGTATACACCGGATAAGGCGCTTGAATGATTAAATGCTAAAATCTTAAATATTTTTCTGCCAAAATGCTCTTTAAGAATGCTAATTCATCTCCTTACACAAATTTAAATACAATCATGAAAGAAAAAAATGTAAGAATCACTAAAAAGGGCGATATTTTTCCACTTTCTACATAATCAAGATTTCTGTAAAGCGTCTAGAGGTACTGCTCCAACACTGTTAGTATTCCTATCAATTTTCCACCGCTGCTAACAGTAAAATACAAAGCCTCAGAAAGCTTCTACAACATGATATTCCATATTTATTTAAGATGATGATATTATTAAACAATATGCATTCATTTATGTTAACATTTATAGTGTTCCTTAAAGTTGATATTTTCATCAATGTTGTTAAAGTACCTTTATTTTACAGCTATATTATAACATTTTAGAAGCCTAATATGCTTTACATAAAGCTGCTTGTCCATGTTTATATTTAGTTATTACCATGTTTGAGTCCTTTGCCACCTGGGTATACCAGGATGCGTTTTTTCCCAGCCACTAAAATTTGCACAAGTAGTTTTAACAAACAGCTAGTTGCATTAAAGATTATGTAAATACTGCAGAATTTTAATGTTTATTCTGCCCTTGACCTTCTGAAACTATAAGTTATTAATTAGCCGTTTACCTCAAGTTTAAAACCAGGACTGACATTACAACCTGTACAACCCTGCTGACAGACTATTCTCTATACTGTTGACTAAACCAGCTTTAAATCCTTTTCTTGATATCCCCCCGAAATTGATAATTGACAGTTCCAAAAATGTAACTTGATTAGTCCATTTAAGAAATTCAGCTTGTTTAGAGTTAATTTCTCTATAGCAATAAATTATTTTTTATCAGTCTCCTATTTAAGTTGGCTTTTCCAGCTACTTTAGGTTGGCTTTTCCAGCTAAGTTAATTCAAGTCGAGCAACTGAGTTATGTGGCTAGAATTCATCCGCATATTGTTCAAGATTTAGTTTCTGTGTGAATAGATCAGATTGCTTAGTTAAATCAGTGATGACTGTTGCCTTATTATTAGTTTATCCCTATTATTGTTTTGTTTTTTTACAGAAGCAGGTATGGCTACACTTTAGTAACTATGAATTTTAGGGATGCTGTAACCCAATTAAGAGTTTGTGAATTTGTTGAAAAAATACTTTGAAATTTTTAATTGAGGGTTAAAAATGTCATTGCTGGTGGGATGTGATATATGGTGAATACTGTTGGATAATAATTTAGATACATATAAAAGTATGACACAAAGGTCTAGATATACATAATATAACCTTATTGTTCATACCAAGCTTTGGTTATATAGGACTTGGTTAGATATATACTTGATTAAGCTAGGTCAGTATATCAATATATAACCCGTATGTTCTGTGGTAATGTAGATCTTATTTGGATATATAACCATATTGAGGTCAAATTATAGCCCACTTTGCCAGTTTTGATGATAAAGATCTTATCTGGATATATTCAATATAACCTGATTAAGGTCAGTATAACCAAAGTGAGATCAATATAACACATTTTGCCAGCTTATATAAGTGATTTAGTTCTTTTTTTGGACATTACAGAATATATCAATTAACTCCTGTACTGAAATATTTCATTTGAAGTTGCTGTAACACTAGAAATAGTTGTGAAATTATTTTGTTGAGATATTAAGTTCACAGACTCTTAGAATTGTGTTAGACTGAAGAAATACACCTCCTATTCTTACTATACTGTATTTACTCATCCATAAGACTGATTTTCCCTTTTGATTTAGAGAGTGATACCAGACACTGCGTCTTATAAGGGTGCCACACCTAAATACAAAGAAAAAAGTCCTAAAAGGGGAGTAAATACAGTAATTTGGGGGCTTAGTGCAAAACTGTTGTAGCTGATGTATATACACAACTATTTTGTACCAAGCTGTCAAGTGGGTAAAATTTATGACGGAATTAATTCCCTTACTTAACCGTTTTACCCTTTCAGCTTTTTTATTAGAAACCTTTGCATCTTTTAAAACACCCTGATTTTGGTTCTTTTAGTTACAGGCAACATATGTTACATGCAATATATATTATTTTGCCTTGTGTGGGTTGTAAGACACATAATCCTGTAAAATGTCTTGTGAAATTTATGAGTAGTATAGATATGTAGACAAAAATAGATATGCTTACTTACAAAGTCTCATGAAATGTTAGAAATTGTGATACTGACTAATAACCCTGATTAAATAAAGGCATACCTGTTTGCATCAGTAAAAATATGATAATTTCATTTCTAAAAAAAACATTATTGAATTCATTTTGAAAGGACACATTATTTTATATTTTTTATCACATTTTTGTATTTTTAGTGGGGTAATATATTGCTTATCAATAAAAGACTGCTAATAAAAGATTTTGGTATCTGAATTTTCAAATTTCATGTTAAATTTCCTCATTTTTGAAACTGACTGCCATTTTTACAATCTCAAAGCATGGAAGGAAACTGCATGTATTTATGAAAATAATTTGAGAGAAGTGTAACAAAGTGTCTTCATTTCCACAATTTAGAATTCATTTGTGTCATTGTTTCTTCCTTTCATAATTTTATCATTATCGTCACCATTTTCATCGCTATCATTGCCATATCATCATTTACACCATCATCATCATTAACATCACCATTATCATCACCTTAAATTTATCATCATCATCAGCATCACTATAATTTACTTGATCACTATTTGACTCATCACTATATTACTTCTTACTTTATCATCATCAGAATTATTCGTAATAATTACAAAATTCTCAGCCATTATTATTATTATTGTTATTATCATTTTACAATCATACAATTCATATGATTTTAGAATCATTACTTTCGTCAGGCTCATGTTGTCATCAGAAGTAAAAATAAATATAAAACCATCATTGATGGTGACATTATAAAAACTTTTTTTGCTATGTACATGATGTAGTTATTTTGGTTAGTTTCAAGGTCTTTAAGTTTATTTTAGAACATTAGGTTTTATCAATTCTAGTGTACTGAAAATGTACTTTCTGTAATTAAATCTTGCCTTGGTGACTTATTTTTTTGTGCGTCTGGAAGTCTTTATTTGTTTATAAATGCTGAAAGTAAGAAAATACAGGGAACATATATTCATTGTTTTTCAATGTGGCAGGTGAATTCTGTCTGCTACTGTTGATTTTGAATCAATACCAGATGGTGATGTTTTTCTTATATCCTTGATTACAGTAATGTTAGAGGTCTGGGTAATTTTAGGATGGACATCTTGTTAAATGTCAGACAGTATCTGAATTAGAAAATAAAAGTTCATCTTTAGTAGTTGAGACGTCTTTAATTATCAGACTGGTCATTAAGATTGCTTATTTTTAAAACGTAATTTCGTGCTGGAGGTAGCTGATTACCTTGCGACAAGTACAGACCAGGATCAATGGGCACAGTCTGTGCCATCTGATCATGGTCAGCAATGTTTGGGATTTAGATAGTATATATTTTGAACTTTTTCCCCTGAAAAGTGAATGGTTTATTAGTTAAGATTGAAAGATGGGCAAGGTCATTTATGATATTTAGGGTGGTATGGATACTAATGTAAATGTACTGAAAAAATTCCTTAGTGATTATATAAATTGTCCTTCATACAGATGAGCATGTATCATTGATACCTTAATTAAAAATTGGTAAAAATAAATTATTCCATAGGTCAATGTTTAACCCTTTACCACATATATGCGAAACAACGCACTTTCGACCCCCCCCCCCCCTACCTTTTTTTTTGGGCCTCAAATAGTGAAAAATGTCCTATTTGGGCCCCAAACATAAGTTTTCGTTTGAGAAATGTTGCTACAAAAATTGAGCACTTTTTCGGCGCCGCCCCCCATCCAAAAGGTACATCAGGGGGTTGCCAGAAGGGGGATATGCCCCCTTCTGTTAGGGGGGTTTGAAGGGGGGCGGAGTCCCCCTCATCGCCAAGAAAATTTTGGACTTGTGAGAGGCTAAAAATGACCCCAGGTCGATCATAATGTAACGTTTAACCAACGCTGAAAAGCCTTTGACTCTATCTCAATCCCTTGAGAAGTTGCAGCCCTTTGAAATAAATTTTGATGGAAAAAATCGAGGCAAAATAGTGATTTTTGGCAATTTTGAGATGTCCCCTCGTTGCCATGGTAACAGGAAATTTGAGACTGAGCATGTCGTTACAAAGGCAATGGTCCAGTCAACATTTGTGCCAAGTTTGATTAGTATTGAAGCATTTTTCATAGTTTCATAGCAGTTTGAACTTGTAACAGGAGGCTTTTCAGTGAAAACGGCCATTTTTCACAATATGCTCATGGGGGAAAGGGTTAAAGATAAGGTAATTGTATAGGAATTGTTTTGACAGGGTTTGTGGTTATTTGTCTTAATTGTTAAGCTGGGTCAATGACTTCTGATTTCTTGCATGCATGTTTGAATTTCACCTGAGGGACATTTCTTTCATGTAAGAAAGTTTCCTACCTTAAGCTAATGGAATGTTGTTGGTTCCACTTCGGTCCCTGTGCACTCTTGAAATAATTCACCAAGGTGCACCAGAGGTCTTCCTCTGCCAAGAAAAAATTGGCAGTAAAAATATTACATAGCTATATACTGTATATCACAATCAAATTGTTGATGTATAAATTTGCTTTTGCAATGCTGAGATATTCTGATCAGCAGATAATGAATGCAAGGAGTTTGAGATGATTTTAGTTTGATTATTTGATACATGATGCTTTATATCATTTTTTACGACATTTTGAAAAATCAAGCCTCTCGTTTATTCCTTGCATAGAACCAAAGCTCGAGTTTTGGGCAGAAGACATGGACAAGAGATTGTACAAAGGTATTTCAGTAGGACGAGCACGGGGAATGATGGAAACCGGAGATCCGGTTGTCATAGTAACCGGATGGAAGTGTGGAGCCGGTTACACAAACACAATGAGATTGATCAATGTTCCGGAAACTGATGAGGGGCCTATATTAGGGACCCCAATTATTAAGGGATACAATGATTAGAAATGAACTGAATAGAATGCGAACTAAAACATTGTTTACAGGGTATCTAAATTAAATTTACAGAATGGCCTGTCTGTGATTTCTTTACAATTGAAGTGCTTTGTAGGACACTAAATCAGTATTTATTTATTTTTTGATGCATTAAATTTTTTGTTGAACAACAGCTAAATGTGATAATTATTTAAAAAGAAATTTATTTTGGTGCATTTCATAAATTATTCTTTATTGGACATTGGACTCTTGTTTTGTAATGTGTACGTTTTTAGTAAAATCATTACAGCAGATGTTAAGGTTTTTGATAAATAATTCCTATTTGGTTAAGAACTTGAATCATGGAGATGTCAGGTGCAAATCATTCCCCAGGTATTAAGACCAGCAAGTCAATTTACTAAGGTCAAAAAACAATTTGTGGAAAAAAACACAAATCATTTATTGCCACCCATTTTGGTCTCCCATAAGAGTTTTAAAAAAGCCATGTGAAGAAGTTAATAGTTTTTTGTCGATTACAGGGGCTTAACAGCCTGTTCATTAAATCTACCTGCCTTCAGAGTGGAAAACAAATGTTCCATATTCAAAACTTAGAAAACATGTAATTGTTTAAAGAAAAACAAAACATGTTCACCCATATTTCTATCCCTTCCTGTTAAAAAGAGAAAAATATAAAAAAAGAGAGTAAAAACTGATGATTTAAGCAAAGTAAAGTGTAAACCAATGTTTGAAAAGAAGCAAAATTTTCTGAATGTTTAAAATATGGAAGTTTTAAGAGCATCCCCTGTACCACTTTAATTTGTAAGTATAATCAAGTTTGTGTTAAAGTTAACAAAAGCATTTTCACAGTAATTTTACAAGTTATCTTTATTTTATGTTTAGGTTAATCTTGTTGAAATTTTGTTTAAATTTCCAAATTAACATCACCTGTTATATCAGCGTCACATTCACTGTAACTATGGTAGGCATTATGAGCATTATATAGGATATTGACTAAATCAACAAGCTATCGTATTATTTTATGCATGAACACTGGTATGAACACTCAAATGATTAAAATCCAGACTATATGATTTTTTTTATGCATAAACAGTCAATTTTTATGCATAAACACTCATAAAACTCTAAAACCAATAGCATTCATATATATAACATGTATGCATCAACACTCAATAGAAGTAAAGTCTGTAACATTCATATGAAATTTATGCACAGAATTTTCCAAGAAACATGTAAATGAAGTTTCCCGAGTAAAATTATTCACAATTAAACATTCAAAAACACAAAACAAACAATTAAATATTTATGTAGTGCTACCCACAGAAAAATGTTTCCACATCAGTCATGCAGACCAAAGTTTTAGTTGTTTAGTTGATTTACATTTTTTCTACCGACAGATGTCATTTTAATATATGTGTACCACCAAATTAGATAGCAATTGGAATAATTCTTTTGTCGGAAAATTAGGAAATCAGTTATATTTTTGTCAAATAAAGAAATTCAATATCTAATCTAGTATTATATTCATTTCTCTATTTTAGTGCAATAACATTTCTGAATTACGTGGCCGAGTGGTTAACGCGTCTGACTAGTAATCTAAGGATTGCTGACCGCGTGGGTTCAAACCCTGTCAGGGGCAAGCCGTTGTTTCCTTGAGCAAGAAACTTTACATTCATTGCTTAGTACTGGTTGGTTCCAGGAACGGATTCGAGAGTGTTTCAATAAGCTTAAAGCTTCCAACACAATCAAACTAAATAAATTTGTATAAACCAATTACATATATTTAGGCAAGGATTAGCAAGTTAGGATATTAGATAAAGGTGTCACTGAAATGTTAAGACATATTTACTCACTGATGTTTAGCCAACTGAAATGTCTGGATATAATAACTTGATTCATATTGGAGGACATATTATTGCTACATATATTTGCTACATATATTTGACTAACATGTTCCCACATAATTATATTTGACTAACATGTTCTCATAAACATTTGACTAAAAATTTCCCCACATATATTTTACTAGTATGTTTTCCTTTGTTCCTTTGGAATTTGTTATTGTGGTGATGGTTTAACTTGATTTTCATTCTAATTTTAATTTGTTGTCCCATTATTATAGTTTTATGAATATATTTCATTTTAGTTATATTTCATTTATGTTCTCGTTAACCTTTAGGGACACATCTTCATTTGTCATTAAATTAAATTCTTCATAGAAATACTCATTCGATAAATTAAATTCTTCATTTTGCATATGTTTCATTTTGTGACAAATACATATACATGTATTTCATTTTGTGATGAATACTTTCATTTCTGTTTTAAGATTTCTTTTCTTTTTGTGTTGTGCAATTTTTTACTTCAGATAATTTACAAAGAGACATTATTTTGTACTTTTCATTTGAATCATTTAATAACTTCATCTGCATTTATATATAGGCATGAATAGTGCTTATATTTAGTTTATTACAGTGCTTAGAAATTGTTCAACTGCTTCGTTCATGTTGTAGTCCAATACATTTATTGACTTTTCACTATTTGTGCTTGTGAAGTTTGGGGACAATTGTGAAGATATGAAATCTTCTCAATCTTTTGAGAGACCAGTCACAAAATTGTAAAGTTTTCATTGGTCAATTAAAAAAAATTCAGACTGGTTCTGAGGTTTTATATATAATTAATTGTTGAAAATCTACTCTAGTAATTTATAGGGAAGCAGACAAATTTTGAGACTGGTCACCTAGTTTCCTATTATTTTACATTCACACATCAGTTTTTATAGGGAACCAGTCAGTACATCATAATAATACACATATATTGTATATTTTCAGATGGCATACTTAATGAATGGACTGTTGATGTAGACAGAAGAATCTATAAGGGAATACAGGTGGGCATGGACAGAGGCTTCATCAAACCTCATGACCCTGTTGTAGTTGTTTCAGGTAAAGAAATTTCATACCATGAAATCTGATAATATCAGATATTTACACAAAATCAACATTTTGGTCCAATTGATGAGGTTAAATATTCCTCGAAATTCCATTTTCAGTTAACTCTGTATGGTTCTTACATACTTAGAGAACATTTATTTTTGTCAAAAATTCACAGTTCCCAAAATAAGCAATATTTATGCCTGCATGAAAATCTCTGATATTACAGTACTAAGTAGATACATATAAGGGATAAAAATTACAAAAATTAAATTCATGAAATGTTATCATCACCCAAGATTAAAATGTCATAATACATTTTTGGGATCTCTTTATTTAGATTTAAGAGTTAGGATTTAAATTTTTTTTTTATTTTGGGTTGTGTTTTTTTAAGTCACACTGAACATGTCAAATGGCGACTTCCCTGCTTTACTTGTTAAGGAAGACCTCGGGTGCCCCTCTGTGTTTATTTCAGGCACAAGGGGGCACCTGATTAGAAGAAATAACATGCCAACGAAGTTTATATCAGTACTGATGTAATAATAGATCATAGATTAACAATAAAGATCTCATTTCCCTTTGAGAGAAAAATAGCATTGCGACTTTTCCTATGCTTTCAAATATGAGAAATTCTAAATTCTTATTTTGATTGTTTTTTTTCATAAATTTTTTTTTTTTCATATCAATAATTTTAGGTCCGCTTTCAAACATTGTTAAACATAGCTAATGTTGTTTTGCAGGCTGGAAGCCAGGCTCTGGTTCTACAAACACAATGAGAGTGATCTATGCCGTAGACCCACGTGGCTCCTCGCTGCTGGCACCTATTACAGGAATTACTAGTGTCCCAAGCTTTAACAAGATGGAAGGTGATGCCCAGTCAGATTTCGAGGGTATGAGCGTGCCCAGTATAACCAGTGGTAGCGGGGATGACATCAAGTTTTTCTAAAAATAGAACATTTTAAAACAGATATCTTTAGTCTATCTCAATGGAACACTATTGTAACTTTACTTATATTGGATGAAGGTATGATAGTTTTGCGTTGAAGTGTGACAATTAGTCTCAAAGCTTAAATACTTGAAAGACTGGTGTAAGCGTTTGATTTGGAGTCGTTTAAGAAGCGATAATTTTATAGGAAGAAATTTAGTGGTGTTTAGCCTACCCCCAAACTGCTTTGTGATGTACAACCTTCTTTAAAAATTTTTTAGTAGTATCATACCTGCTGGATTTGTTACATGAATATTTTGTATAAAATAATCAAAAAAATTGATGCACTGATGCGATAGTGTTGAAATGATATTTTTTATTATTAAAAAAGTTGTTTTTTTGACGAAGACAACTGAATATGTACTCATTTAAGCTCGATTTATGAGCTTTAATTGTGATGTGCAAAATTGTCTATGTGCATTTTAATGTCACAGGGCTTACTTGATGTAAAAATTTTGTTCCTCAAATGAAAAACGAAAGTTTGTACATGTACATGTATATATTCTATTAGAAGTTGTCTGCTTTTGTCCAAAGTAGAAAGGTGGCAGCTAAGAAAGAGTTCATGAAAAACAGAAACGCAGACGACGCATTCTTTGCACCTTTTTTTGCTTTATTTGATCGAAACTAAAGAAAATTGGGTGTAATCTGGGACATAGTATGCCCCAGGTGTAATGCTGTGTACGGTAGTTTTTGTAATTCTGCTATCTGCTTTTAAATATAAGTGAAAATTGTACATCATGCAGCTTAAATTTTAGTATGAATGAACAATATTTTTAATATACACTTGTTGTAAAAATATTTTAATGTTTTTGGCACTTCTTTAGATAATCATGTCTCTTTTTTATTGCACGCACATGTTAATGACACTCGTAATTAAATCAGGGTTTTGATTTAGTATTTAAAAGTAATGACGTCTGTTTTGATATTTACCCGGTTTAAACTTGCAGATACTTTGAAAATTGAGCAGTTGTCTAGAATTTGCATCGTAATTTAGGTTCCGAAATAAATTTGAAGTTGTACTTCTTTTATCATATTTACAGTGGCCAATAAAATTATCAAATATTGGTGCTACGAAAACTGAAAAATAATTTATTTTTTTGTTTCCCCTTTTAAGTTTATGCGACTCCCTTATTAAGACAGCATTACTTTTTAATTACCAAAAATTATTTTATCTTTCTGAACAAATTTTGATGATTTTTCTTATAACGACAAAAGTCAAGTTTTTGTATATTTGTATTTGGATAATAGATTCTGATGTTTTTGTTGTTGTTTTGTTACTTTGCAGACATGTACGTTTCAATGATCATGTTATTTCATGTTTTTAATTAATTGTTTTGACTTTAAGTTATTTTTTATAAATAAAGATACATTTGTTTTAATTATAGAAACAAAAGTTATTTTATTCTCTGTAATATATGCAACTTCTTACAATTACTTACGCATATTTTTTATTATACGTTAGAAGCATATAAAGTGCATATTCTTGTGTATGTTGGTATAATTACAATTACACATAACTTTCACTACACATTGGTACCTTATATAAAACACATATTCTTGTGTCTGTTGTTATATCAACTTTTACTCGGTTAAAAATATGTTTAAATTAATAAGACTTTAAAAACAACCTCAAAATTTTAGAGAAAATATACATGATATATGTGTAGTGAAAGAAAATTGTCTGGTAAAAAAAGATCGAAAATTTCCTGAAATATGTGGAATTATTGAACATATATATATTAATTTTGACTTGTGTAATTTTTTACTGACTTTATAAATATAAAATTTGCAACCTCTATCATAATATGATCTTAAAATGCTATTGAATTTGCCTATTTTTATGTCCTTTTATGTTAATTGTAGTAATTTTAAGTTGTTAAAAAGCGTATGATTTTTTCCCCTGTATATTCTTTGTATACATGTATAATTGGAAGATTTTTATTCAATGTATAGGTTTTGTGTAGTTTTTATTTTTTAATTTTCCAAAGTTTGTAAGAAGGGCTTAATAAAAGCAGTTTTTTATAGTAGAATTTTATAAGGAAAAAAAATGTTTGAATCCAATTTGTAGAGAAATATTCGTCAAAGCTTAAAATGACAAAAGAAAAAGGTGTTTAAAGTTTGCATTATACATTTACAGAGCTTTTAAGAAATCTTTGCAAGGCTATTTTTTATCTACCGATATGTTATTATCATTTGTATAAATATTCACTTTTTTATTTATTCCAAAATAGTTATATTTCAAAGAATTAAATATTTCAAAGAATTAAATATTTGAGAGAGACATTTCCTAAACACCTCCCGTGTGTTTCTGTTGTGGTTGTTTTGAAGTTTGTTTTTTTGTCAACCTTACCAGAAAAACACCAGTAAAAATGTCAGAAACAGTAATCTTGAAAAAGGAGCAACTGAAATTCTTCTCTCAAATATCGAAATTCAGTTGTTTTGTAAATATAGACACAATAATCACTTGATATTAACTGAGGCTATATTGACCTATGACCCCCACATACCTCTTATGCTATTTTTAGATTAATTTGACAGTTTTACAGTGTAATAGACACCGTTACTATTTTTAGTATTCCTATTTTATTTACTTGTAAGTTGCTTGTTTTTTTTTCTTTTTTCTTTATTATTTATTCTTACTGTAATTTTTTGCATTATTAAGTTTGAATAATGATAAAAAAAAGTTGTAAAAGCTGTGTACAAATATTTTAATGATTCTAGTTCCTTTTTTTCCCCACATTTGCAAGTGTTTATTATAACATTTGTGTGCTTTGAAAAACATAAATTTGTTTCTTTCCAAAATTGTGGTTTTCGGAAGAGAAATAAATGCTTAACTCCCTTTTAATGGAAAGTGGATGGAAATTTGTTAATTATTCACTTTTCACTGTGTTTTTGAGAGATAGGTATTTGAAACATTATGCTTTTTTGTTGAACAAAATAAAAAAATTAGTGTTTTCAAAAAGTTGTTTGTTTTTTTCTTTATTTGTTTTCATAGATGGTCAATAAGTTTTGGTGATTATTTTATATTAAATTTATTACCCAGGTTGCATAGCTCAGTCGGTTAGAGTGCAAGACTTGTAATCTAAACATTGTGGGTTCGATTCCCTGGTTTGCCAACTAAAATTACTTATCGGTCTTTCAAATCAGACTTTAAACTAGAACTATCACTAAATGTGATTAATACCCCCACAAGACTGCTTGGGAAATGAGGATGTTACTAGTAACAGAATATCTTGTAAAAGAATTGAAATATAGAGTTATGGTTGTGGGCAATTAAAGATAGTTGTGGTTCTTGTATATTGCATTTCCTTTCAATGTAGTTGGCCATTGATGAAGTTTTATTGAATTACTCTGTCATAAGTCCAGAAAGACAAAGAAAAGGAACAAAGGGCAATAACTCTATAAATACTGAAGATGAAGTTATAGTTTCTTGTGCACTGCACTTCCTCTTTTTTGTGCTTGACCATTGTATGAAGTTGTTTTGAATTTCAACCAGTACGTTTTAAGTTATGCTCCAGACAAGGAAAAGTATCATAGGGCAGTAACTCTTTATTTTGTCAAAATGGAGTTATGGCTCTTATGCACTGCACTTCCTTTTAATGTCCTTGACAACTGTATGAAGTTGTATTGAATTCCAAACAGAAGTTTTCAAGTTATGCTCTGGACAAGGAAAAGTAACAAAGGGCAATAACTCTGTAATTTGTCAAGACGGAGTTATGGTTCTTGTGCATTGCACTTCCTCTCAATGTGCTTGACCATTGTATGAAATTATATTGAATTCCAACCATTAGTCTTCAAGTTATGCTCCGGACAAAAAAAAAGCAATGGAAAAGTAACAAAGGGCAGTAACTCTGTAATTAGTCAAGATGGAGTTATGGTTCTTGTGCACTGCACTTCCTCTCAATGTGCTTGACCATTGTATGAAGTTGTAATGAATTCCAACAATTAGTCTTCAAGTTATACTCCGGACAAAAGAAAGCAATGGAAAAGTAACAAAGGGCAATAACTCTGTAATTACTTTAGATAGAGTTATGGTTCTTATGCACTGCACTTCCCCTTACTGTGTTTGACAATTGTATGAAGTTGTTTTGAATTCCAACCAGCAATTTTCAAGTTATGCCCCGGACAAGGAAAAGTAACAAAGGGCAATAAACTCTGTAATTAGTCAAGATAGAGTTATGGTTCTTGAGCACTGCACTTCCTCTCAATGTGCTTTGACCATTGTATGTAGTTATATTGAATTCCAACCATTAGTCTTCAAGTTATGGTCCGGACAAAAGAAAGCAATGGAAAAGTAACAAAGGGCAATAACTCTGTAATTACTTTAGATAGAGTTATGGTTCTTTGTGCACTGCACTTCCCCTTATTGTGTTTGACAATTGTATGAAGTTGTTTTGAATTCCAACCAGTAGTGTTCAAGTTATGCCCCAGACAAGGAAAAGTAACAAAGGGCAGTAACTCTGTAATTAGTCATGATAGAGTTATGGTTCTTGTGCACTGCACTTCCTCTCAATGTGCTTGACCATTGTATGTAGTTATATTGAATTCCAACCATTAGTCTTCAAGTTATGGTCCGGACAAAAGAAAGCAATGGAAAAGTAACAAAGGGCAATAACTCTGTAATTACTTTAGATAGAGTTCTGGTTCTTGTGCACTGCACTTCCCCTTACTGTGTGTTTGACAATTGTATGAAGTTGTTTTGAATTCCAACCAAGTAGTTTTCAAGTTATGCCCGGACAAGGAAAAGTAAAAAGGGCAATAACTCTGTAATTAGTCAAGATAGAGTTATGGTTCTTGTGCACTGCACTTCCTCTCAATGTGCTTGACCATTGTGTGTAGTTATATTGAATTCCAACCATTAGTCTTCAAGTTATGGTCCGGACAAGGAAAATGCAACGGATGCTGGACCGACCGACCGACCGCCCGACCAACCGACCACCGGGTGACTCCTATATACCCCCCCAAACTTTGTTTTTGGGGGTATAATCAAGCTCCTGTATATGATTGCTTATACTCTTGGCACACTAAAGAACCAGGAGAAGCTTCTGGAATTGGGGCATCTTTCTGTTGTCTGTATTTTGCACTATCGTGCAAAATATAAAATGACTAATACCCGAGGACTCGCCCATAAGGTTTGCCATGTATAAATAAACTCAAATACACTCGCCAGTTTTTAGCAGTGAAAAAGTTAGCCCCGCCTTTTCTATTCATTGCTACCAAGTCAACTTCTCACAAATGAGAAATCCAGGTCAACAAAAGACTATGTATTATCCTGGTGTAGCAATATGTCAATTTGCATAAAACTGTAAACACTGGAAAGGTTCATTGTGTCTCAAGGTGATTCAGGTTTAACCCCTTCTCCCATTTGCACAATATTAAGGTCTTAATATTGAGACCTAAAAACCTAGGCCCAATGTAAAATTGCTCTACTCCAGGCATGTAAAAGAACCTGGGTTGCCTTGGGAAAGGGGAAAGGATAACTTTGCAAGGTTTGTCAAATTAGCCCAGATATAACCAGGCACAACATACATGTTATTGATATTGAAAACAGTCGAATGATTCTGGTATATTCCCTGCCAATAATAAATCTAATATCAACCTGTTGCACCAGACTACAGTCTGATACCATTTTCATATCACCACCAGTCTATGCCTTTACAGGGTTAATGTGGGTTTTACAACAAATAAAAACAAGAAACACGATGGGTTTTAAATAGTTTTTTTTACTTGCATTAAGACGATAATGTACATGAGAAAACAAAGCTGCGAAAATGAGGTGATATTAATGACATTGCATGGCATATATACAGCTAGAGTTGAATCTGCTGATTGACTTGCTAGATATCTAACATTATTTGTAACTCTGTCTACTGCACAAAATTGATCAATCACTGAAGTTTCAACTCTTCTTTTTATCAAGGAATTTACTTGTTTTTTTGTTGTTCATTTATGAAACACATTCTTAAACACTTACGCTGTTAAAAAATAATTACAGGAATAATTATGAAAACAGAAATTCATAAAATAAACAGCAAACTTGATAAAGACGGATTTTAACTCTTCGAAACATCGGAAATTGATAAACTCTGCGCAACAGGTAGTTATATATAATTTGCAACTTAAGTATACATAAAATATGCACACAGAACTGTTGATTCGTTTGAGTAACTATGTAATATCATGTAAAAAAATTCTGACATGGAATACATGAATAACTTCAATGTAAGATGAAGAAATTCTGTTTGAAACTTCACTGTAATCACTTCACAAGTAATACGACGATGACTGATAAAATATCATATTGATAAGAAAATATGACATTTTCTTTCAGAATCAATAAAAAAAAATTCATACACATGTAGCCGTTTGTAAAGCATTAGAAAATAGTAAGTATTTTGAATGTGTTTAAAAAATTTTTGCGCATTTGATCGCCAAACCTAGTATAAACTTAGAATAAATCAGTAACAAGTTATTTAGTTTTTAAACTCTCATGCAACACCTCCATGTTAAATTGTACTTCTTAAATATAATTCTTAAATAAAATTTTTAATTGAAAACAAGCAAAATAGATATTTAGCTAAAAACTTAAACTTGAGATAATTTTATCACTTACATTTTCTATAACTGTGGCAAAAATTTATCCAAAATCTAAATTTTTTTAACACTGTAACAGTCTGGGAGAGACTTGACTTTCCAGCATTACTGGTAGAAGGAGATATTAACTTGCTTTGTCTTATAATTTCAAGCAACAGTGGATACCTTGTTTAATACCATTCTCCTCCTTTAATAATTTAGGGAAGACCCAGGTTTGCATTATTTCATTTCATGTGCAAGCAATCAACTGGAATATATTCATTTACTTTCTTTAATATATTAGATAGACCCTAGGCAATAATGTCAAGGGTTTAGTGCAAAACGATTGTAACTTGTATGTACACTAAAGGTGAAGTTAAAACTGTTTGCATCAAAAGATGTGTCCTTACCTTGCACCAGAATATTTTTTTATTTCTTTTTTTATCTTTTGATGTTTTAGGAAGAATCAAAACAAGTCACAAATATCTTCATTATTTCAGACAGGAGTGGGAGAGCTGACCTCCCTAAAAGCTAGGCGGAAGTAATAAATTCAACAAAATAACAATGTTAAAGCTTCTAGTAAAAATTTAACAATAGTACTACATGTCTTTTGCATACAATAATGGAAAAACTAAACATATATAACATACTTCATATATAAAAAAAAATCTATCATTTTAATAAAGATATTTATTTCACAGACAAATGCACAGCACTTACAAAATTGATATACAAAATCGGATCTCGAAAAAAAAAAAAAATGATCTAGAAAAAATAATAATAGTATTGTATATATTGTAGAAAAGCAAAATTACACAATTTTTAAAAAATGCCCTCCTTATGCGGTTCTTTGTGAGCCAACAACAGGTTTACTGGGTACATACAACTACTACCTGATAAGGCTAGGGGTACAGCATGACCCTTCAAATAGAACTAAAAAATCTCGTCTTATAGCTGAGTATAAATACAATAGTTTCCAGAATCTCTTTAAAACTATACAATTGAGTTTCTTATAAAGTGAAATATTATTTCTAATTGAACTGAATAAGTTTCAAAGAAGCTAAAGGGGTAAATGTTGAAAAAAACAACAATTTTTTTTTCTCAAAATGGATTTAAACTTAATTAAACGAATAAAAGATTGTTGCCTTATTTTTAAACCACATTTTTACCACATTTAAATTATATGACACAATATAGTGTATAGACAAAACACCCTTTAACACTTCACCACAATAATGACCAACACTACATCTACAACCTACTCCTTATGTATAAAATAACCTGAAATCTGGGACCAGTCAACAATACCACCATTCTGATTGGCTGATTTGGAGCTAAGATTCGAAATAAACCAATTGCTGTGCCTCATTCAGAGACTGGTCCCAAATTTTGTTTGTTTGTCTATGCCAGATAACAACCTACATGAAAATAAAACCTGACATTTTGAACCAGTCTACAATATTGTCATTCTGATTGGCTAATATGGAGCAAATGTTCAAATTGAACCAATAACTGAGCTGCATTTACAGACTGCTACTCAATTCTAATGTAAATTAGTAAATTTCCCTGTGTGTAAGATAAATCACAACCGAGATAATGTCACCGAGTGTCAGTTATAAGTAATAGAAATGTCAGAAAAAAGAAGAAAATTAAATGATTCAAGGCAAGAAGTAAACATCTCTTTTTTATCGAATTATCAAAACAACTTAAGTTAAATGCATGACATAGTTTGTATTACTTGATTCACCGGGATGACGTATATGATAGGACCATTTACCATGGCTTTGAACGAAATCTTAAAATGAAATCAACTTGTGAAAATGCCATAATCACATGTTATTTGGTGTTATGTAAAACAGGGTCTTTCAAATAAAGACCCTGCGTAATAATACCGATTCTACACAAAAAAATGATAACAGAATTCTTTAAAAGAATTGTCCATACAAAAATTTACATTTTATCTTGCCAGTATGCAGTGAACTACATAGCTTTTTATGTTAGTCAAAACACTGGGTTAGTCAGAAACAAACACCATTGTATGATACTGGCATTTTTAGTTTTATCGCCTTAACAGAACTATAAATAGTAACATTATCTAAATACTGCACATCTGAAATTTCTTTTTTGAAAAAAATAAAATAAAAACTTCAGTACAATCAGTACACTTATCAAATTATTCCTATCAAATGCATTTTTGAACATATATGTGAAACTGATGTCAAATGTTTGTAGATAGATGAGTTTGACATGATAAGCAGTATGTAAAACACAAGCTGATTGGGTGATTTGAACTAGTACAAATGATCTGATTGGTTACTGGAATTTCCTGACTGATGCAACATGGGAATTTTCTTCAATGAAACATGTTATACACATTTTGATTGGCCAATAGCATAAATACTCATTCTCTACAGAAATGAATCAGGAAAACTGTTTGCATTTTCATAAATTTACCAACATATATAAACACTGTTGTATAAAAACAGCTTCTTGAGTTAATTAAAACAGTTGGTACATACACAAAATACGTTCTGATATTCATATAAAATTTTATGAATGAGTTACATATGAACATGTATACTGACCTAACATTTACATGCCTGCAAACTCAATTCAAGCACCATGTCAATGGAAAAGGAGATCAAGACGACATTGTTAAATAAAAACAAAATGCGAGATAACAAAATTAACCCCTAAAAAAAAACAACATGGTATTAAGCTACTACAGACTGGATACTCTTGTCTTTTTCTTAAACAAGAGAGCGTAAAATCTTACATATGTTTTCACAAACTAATACAAAATCTCGGCAGAAAAAATGAAATCACAGTTATTTTAGCCTAATTTGTATTTTCATGTTTATGCACAATTCATTGGTGTAAGTTTGACACTCTATTAAGTTTTTTTCATGATCATTCACAATTGACAGTTTCTTTTGTATTTTCATGTTCATCAGAAACGTCTGAGTAAATTTACAGCCTTTTTTACATTTTCATGTTCATACACAATTTATTGGTGTAAATTAACAGCCATTTGTGTATTTTCATGTTCATACACAATTTATTGGTGTAAATTTGACAGCCTTTTTGTATTTTCATGTTCATACACAAATCTTTGTTGTAAATTACTTGTTTTCACATTTAGCTGTGATAAAGACAAAACTATTAATAGTACAAACATTATAATATTGGGGATAAAAAAGAATCACTTTAAATGCAGTTTCTATAAGCAAAATGTAAAACTACTTTTACAAGAGGACAACATCCATTAAGAAATAAGTAATGCTGACAAACTCTTTAGATTTTTGGCAAAAGGGCAAAACATGACATGAAACAAGTCTTAGGCCAAACTAAAAGAAAAGTTTTGTTTCAAGACTTACTTATTGGACAGGTAGAAATTTCTTATTATATACATATTTATATCAGGGCTCTCGATTGACATGGATATCCAAGTTCTGACTCACGAAAGTCAAGAAATGTACACATTTGACCTGTGATAAAATTATATGAATTTGTAATTCAGTGGATAAATCAGTAAAGAAAAAAAATCTGAAAAGGCAAAGTATTCCTGACAAAAATTTAATACAAAGGGTAGAATGGAGACCTGAAACAAAACATTTCTTTTTTCTAGCCTTAATTAATTACTCATTTTCTTCTAGACAAATTTTCAATTAATCTTTGTTGTCATGAATTTCATTTACAGCGTAACAAAAAACACCACAAAACAAGTTTTTTGATATTTTTTTTGTAATATATTTGGAGAAAAATTATATTCAAAACTGGAGGATAATAAAAATATTACAACAAGATGTCAATTACATGTGAAGTTTTGTTTGGAAGCTGGCAAAATTTTAATATGGGACCAACTTCTAAAAATCTTGTTTAAAGACATGATTCAATTTTCACTAAGTAATGCAATAAATACAAAAACCAACTTGTGTATAATTCACCTTAAAGACTTTCTTCCTAAACGTATTCTAAATATACAATGCAATTTTTTAATCAGGTTACTTTAAAAGTTAAAAACACACAGTCTCTAGGGAATATATCCTTACATATAGAGCTCTTAAATATTTTGCTTAACAGCTTCACTACACGTTTTAACTAATGCTTATTTATTTGGAGACCACTTAAAAAGACATATTAGTCTCTATTGACCATATAAACATTTCCCTGCGTTCTTTAGTGCAATAACTGGTTAACTCCTTTGATATTTAGAAGGACTTGACTCATTACTGCACTGAGGTGACATCCTGGTGTTTGTTCGTTGGTTGGATTTAAAGTCACACAGATACAGTTCAGGTGACATGGCGACTTTTTGGCTTTACTGGTGGTGGAAGACCTATGGTGTCCCTTTATGCATTATTTCTGGTGTGAGCGGGTACCCGAGTAGTTCACAGCTATTCAGTAAGCCAGCTGGAAAGCTTCCTAATGTGAAAAAATCCAAAAGATCATTAGCCTTAGAATGCTGGTGGCAAATGTTTATTGCCATAGCAACCAGTATAAAAGAGGAGCCATTATTATATGTCACCAAATTGTCCATGCTTAATACTGATTACTGATGGGTGACCGTCTTCTTCAATATCTTCAAAATTAACAGACTGATGGCCCTTGAAATATCAACTGTATAAGTCAATATAAGTCATTCAGCAGAAAAAATGACAATACAAAAAAACTGTAAAAAAATGCAGAATACTTTATTGATAGATATATATTTCCATTAATAAATATCCCAAATCGAGACTTTCTGGAAGTATATATCTGCTAGTAAACCTGAGCAGGTTGTCCAGATTTCAATATTGGTTGAACCAAAAGTTTGAAACATTTTTTACACATACAAAAAAGATTTTGTTTTTTTCCCCATAATAACACAAAGGGGGTCCCCTTTTTTGTCAAATAAGAAAAGAAAAGAATGTTAAATCTTAAAAAGAAACCCCAATATCCTGACCATGATTTAAAAATTTTTTTTTCTTTTTTTTTTTTCTTCAGCTGAAAGGGAAAACTTAAAAAATTTTTTCCTTTAATAAAAAAAATGAAAAAAACCAGTCCTACTTTTTTTCCCCCTTCCACATTTAAAAAATTTAAATTTCTTTTTTAAACACTATATTGTACTGTTTCCCCCACTTTTTTAATTATTTTAGCCAAACATTTCACTCCTTTTCAAATTTTTCCCCAAATTTTGAAAAAAGTCTCAGCCAATCAAATTTCCCTTTCCCTTTCAAATCCACAAAACAAAAAGGGAGCCAATCAACAAAATTTAAAACAAAATTTTTTTTTGTTTTCATGTTTTTTCTTTCCCCATTTTTTTCAACCAAGAAAATACCCCCTGTTTACGCGGGCTTCATTCAAGGGCATGGCTTGAAGGACCTCATCCAGCAGTTGTAGGGGTCTATGTAACTGGACCTCAATCCAGCAAGGTGTCTCTTTAATACTGTGCCTAGGATAGTCCGGTCCCCAACCTTTCACGAAGCTCAGCCGCAAAATACATAAACGTCTTAAATCATCAACTCCAATCCCTGCAGCCGCACTGAGACCTAAAATAGGGAAAAAAGGTAAACAATTATTAAACAGTTTTATTATTGTTGTTTTTTTTTTTCCTTTCTTTTTATTCTCTTTGGAATCATTTATAATATGTTAATTCATTTTAAGTCATACTTTCTTCAAATTTGAAAAGTGGACCTAGAATCTATTATTTACTGGAAAAGGTTATATTTAAGAAAGTTAAACTGAAGCCAGTGTCCAATAATGAAGGCTAGTTTAATATTGAAAGATGATTTTATAGGTTTTTGGTTGGGTTTTGTAGCACCAGCACCGTATAGGTCGTATGGCAACTTTCCAGCTCTACTCAAGAAGGAAGACCTCAGGTGTCCCATTGTACATTATTTCAGACTCAAACAGGCAACTGATGAAAAACTGATGTTCCGCAAGCTAGCTGGCAAGCTTTTTCACATGAATACTTGCATAGCTCAAACCTTCAGTGGTAAGAGGCAAGTCAACGTCCTCAACCAAAATTTTACAGTTAAGTATATACTTCTTTGCAGAGACACAAACAAAATCAATATGCTATCCCTCCTTACCTAATCAATCCTCAAATCAATCAATCAGTCAACCAATCAATCAAAGACAATCAATCAAAGTTGGAGGCATAAAATCATGTTGAAATATATGAAGTGTTGTGACATACAGAATTATCAAAGTTTGTTTGACTTACCTACAGCTGGAGCAATACCACCTACTGATGCTGGACCGGGTACGGTACCCGCCACAGCGGCAGCCTGAGCAGCTGCTGCGGCCTGTGCTGTGGCAGCCTGTTGCTGCATCTGACGATGACACTGTCGTATGTCAAATACCTATGATAAAAGAAAAGTGGTACTCTTAATCAAGATCAATGTAAACATTGCTATCACTTTCAACAAAGCCTGACATTGAAGAACTACAAACCCAAGAAATAAATGGTCAAATTAGTCAAAATTACTACAAGTTCGTAACTAATCAAATGATTTCAAGTCAACCAATAAAAAATATGGAATTAAACCAAGAGCACCAATCAAATTAACTCTAACAAATCAGGTATGGAAAATAAGCAAAAAATACAATAAAACCAAGGAATAACTTAATAATTAATATATACCTTTATATATGCACTGGGATAAATTTTGTGTACAGCGTCGCCTGGTGCGCGACCAGCTTCTCTATCGAGGTAGTAGCTTTGTACAAATACACTGTGATCACTAACACATCGTATCCACACGTCCCCTTCCCCTCTATAGTCTAGCTGCACTCCTTTACCTATATGTAATCTTCATGAACAACAAAAATATAATATTGGTTATAGTTTATTGGTTACATATATATAATCTTCATGAACAAAAAATATATAGAATATATCTGTTATATTCACAAATACTGTCAGCTGCTGCTTTTTTATGAGAAAGATTATTTCAAATTAAATATGTATCGATTTCATCTGAAAATACATAATACCTTGCAAGTACCATGGACATGCCTATATGCAGTTTCCCAAAATTGCACCACCTAGTATGTAGCACCACCTATTATGTAGCACCACATATTATGAAGCACCACCTATTATGTAGCACCACCCATAAAACATTGCAGACTAACCTAAATGTTAGTTTTTTTATCAATGACTTAAATTCCTTAGGACACATGTCCTTAACATTTAAGAAATAACAATTTATACTTTTAAAACAAGTCAATGAAAGTAAGTTTTTTTCTTCAATATTACAAGTTAACAGAACTTAAATTACTATGGTATCCAATGGTACCACCCTATTCCATACTCACAAAATGACCAATAAAAAGTTTAAGCAATACTCATCATGAATACTAGACAACATTTATAAATAATCAAATTCAGGTACAGAAATATTTTCAGCACATCACTTTACAAAAGCAAACTCACCTTGCCCGTTCACTGGCTTCAGATCTATGTACGTTAGAAAGTTGGCCTAGACAAAACCGATCTAGACTTGACGGGTCCGTGTACCCGTCCACAGTTACCGTACTACAACTATACGGTACTTTAAATGTTTCACCGACCTGTTGATCTAACTCGAAGTACGATATTGTACACCAGAATTCTGGAGCTGAAATATTCATAAACAGATTTTGTGAATTTTAAAGTTAAGTAATGAATCTTAACAAATATATTTTATGTTTCACATAACCAACAGAAGAACTGTTTACAGTGAAAATAATTCTTTTTTTATCTAAGCGCCCATAGTGTAACGCTAATATTTAGCATGCCTTTTGTATAATGCAAATGACGTCACATCAAAATTTATGCATGGCTGTGAAATACTGATTTTTTTACGGGGGGGTTGCAAAAGAGGCATGAGTTACTGACCTGTTTAATAAACATCATCAGAATTATATAACATATTCAAACATAATTTTTTTTTTATATAAATCAAAATGGCATCAAAATTTCAACTATTACATGAATGACCAAAAGGACAGCTCCAAATAACGGAAGCTAAGCAAGGTTCATTTAAGAAATTCAGCATATTAAGTAACAGGAAGTAGTAATCAGAATATACTTACGAGGTTGATTGGTTAGAGGTTGAAGAGGTACATCAGGGCTCTGAATTGTGTGATTATTCCCTGAAAACACACACAATACAATATAATACTTTATTATGCTTAAAGGCCAATTATCTTTTAATAATCTTTTTATTATTACATAATAAAATATTTTCAAAAATTTTCTTGACATCTGTAACACTGGCAATACTACATATCTTGAACAGTTCTGTGAACAAAATTAACAAGGTTCAATGGCTATTAAGATTGTATTTTTGGCTCAGTTTGCCATCACATCAGTACCGTTCGGGCAATATACATGTGTAGTGACTTTCCACCTTTCCAGGTGGCATTATTTCAGGCATGAGTGTTCACAAGGGTAGAACCACCGACTTTTCATACACTAAAAATGTCTGCATCTATCAATCTTAATATTGACATGGCATGATGGGTAACAGGAGAACATACCAATCATAGAACTGCTTTCAAGACATTTTGTGTTTTTCCCTGAATATTAAGAAATAAGTTCTTCTTTAAGCATAATTATACACGATAATGAAAACAGTTAAAGCTTAAAGCATTATTGGTGACAATAATAAACAAAGGGAAATAACATAAAAGGCCCAAATTATAAATTGGTTTTTTGATCTTTTTATTTGGCCTCGGACAGAGCATGACACACAAATAAAGTTCCAACTTACAATACTGTTGACCGTCATGTTTCTGTGTAAATGAAGCATTCCCTCCATCCCAACTGGTAGAGGGCGCTGTTCAACAAAGTAAAGAGTATTTTAAAACAACAGTGATTGCATAACAACTATTCATAATGTACGTTTCACAACATCAAAGAGAATAAATAACTTTGCAACTTTAAATAAGTACCACACACTTAATATATCTTGCAATGGTTAAAAACATATAGCAGGATAAAAAATCTTTAACAAGTTGGTACTTAAAAGGAAAGGTGATTTTGGTTACCTCAGGTGTTACAAACTTCAAAGCAACACCAGAGGTCAAAATCACTTCACCTGCTGAAGCTAAGAGATGCATAGACTCCAGTTATTTGAACCCATTTAGTTTCCTCTTACAATCACAGTTATGGCTGCAATTCTAATGCCTCAACCAGTAAAGGCAACCTCACAGCCACAAGTGGCTTCAACTATGATAAAGTACATTATTAAAACTAAGAGCTGTTTGTAAAACAGCCCAACTGACTATACTCAGTGCTCATCAGTAAGAAAAAGAGAGTTTACTCTTTAGTTATGGGTCCCGAGTTGATCATGTTAGATAAAGTTGATTATGTCAGATAATCACATAGTAGTTTTGGAGATACTAACTTGATCAGATCAGAGACACAAAAGCTTAACCACAGTGGATGGTGACGCAGATGCTGGGGGTGAGTACAATAGCTCTTCCATTCTTCGAATAGTCGAGCTAACAAGGTAACAAAGTAAATGACATACTTCTGTTGGAATATGGTGTTATAGCCTGTGAGTTGGGTATCCCTGTAGAATAGGATTGTGGTGACATCGCATGGCCGGGCCCTATACCACTGCTACCTTCAATTATCAACAACAAAAAAATCATTATTTTCAGTCAATCAGAAAAGAAAGCAAGTCAGACTAAAAAAAGTGTTGTTTTTTTTTTACATTTAGCGGTATCAGGCCACATAGTGAAAAATTAAGTGACATTAATAGTACGGAAATTAAAACCCTACCACCATAAAGAATTATATTCAATGAACTTGTTCTTCTTTCATTCAAGACAAAAACAGGTTAACTATTCATCATTTTAAGAAACAAGAGGGCCATGATGGCCCTGAAATCGCTCACCTGTAAAAAGCCGCCGGGGTGGGGCCAATTTTAACCCAGGGGCTTTTATTTGAATCAACTTGGTAGACACCCATTTGAAGATGTTTCATGATAAATATCTAAGCTCTAGCTCTAAGAAGATTTTTTAAGTTTTTACTATACACATATAGGGAAAAACATTGACCCCCCCTCTGGGCGGGGCCAATTTTGTCCCCAGGGCTTTTATTTGAACAAACTTCGTAGACAATCACTAGAAGATAATTCATGCTTAATATCTATTTTAAGTTTTTTCTTTCTGCTTGGAACAATTTTTAAAGTTGACTACCAAAGGAACATTCCTGTGAAGTTTGGATGAAATTGGCTTAGTGGTTTATGAGGAGATGTCGTTTTAAGTAAAAGTTTACGGACGGACACCGGACGGACGCCGGACGAAAAGCGATCACAAAAGCTCACCATGTCACTTTGTGACAGGTGAGCTAAAAAATGTCAATGTAAGTACTGAATGAATAGTGTTCACCAACACTGATATGTCAGCTGATCTTGGTCTGCACTGGTTGCATGAGTAGAAGGCTAAATGTTAAAGGGACTCCACTGTGGTTTTTTTGACATGATGGGACTTGATTTTTTTTTTTTCAAAACTAATGTTTCATTTGATGTAGATCCAGACCAGTAACTTCTGTGCAAAATTTCTTATCATTTGCTCACTTTTTTTTCCAGAATATTTACCGGTATTCCAATTGTGAAAGAAAAGTGTTTCAACGCACTTCACTCAAATGAGACGTAGAGCACAGCATAAACATACAATTTTCAACATATTTTATAGAATATTTCTTTAATTACATTTTGAAAATCTTTCTGTTTTAAGTCTCCAAGCTGGTCTATGTAAGAAATTCAAATTTAATGTTTTTAAGCTTTTGGATCTCAGTGGAGTGCCTTTAAGAGTTAAGTTTAAAACTAAATGCTGCTGCCAGTATTGTTTCACCTTCCTATTCCTATCAAACTACTTATTTTATTCATTCTGTTTAAAATAAACAAAATGACCATATCCCATTACTCTCCTAGCTATGATACAATGGACTTGCCCTACCTTTTAATTAATCAGAAACAGAGATTTCAGTATACTTAAATATTGTAAAGTATCACTATGAGTCTGGTCATATTAAATTCAAGTGCAGAAATGCCTATCTATGTACTCATTTTAAACAAAATATTGTGATGTGTCCAAGTCTGGTCAGATCAAATCAAAGTGCAGAAATGCCTAACTCTGTACTCATTTTAAAGTTGCATTATGCTAAATGCTCATTTTTTTCACCATCTAGTTGAGCTCATAAAGCTGTACAATACAATGTTTTGGCTATTGTAAAAGTGAATGACAATTAACTGATAATAATGAGCAAAGTTTATCATAAAATATAAAACCTGCCTAAAATATGAAAATATAATGCCCCATCTTTATAAATTGAACTTCACTGATAAATGGTATAACAGAAATTTCTTTCTTCTTCACCTTTTTTTTTTGTGAGTTTTACTTGACACCAACACAGTATAGGTCAAATGGCAACTGTCTAGCTTTATTGGCAGAGGAAAATATTCCATGCATTATTATTTCAGTCAAGAACTCTCACCAGAGTAGAACCAATGATGTTTCTTAAGTTCGATCTATAGCATCCTCACATGTAAGAATCCAAAGTCCCTGTCGGGATTGGAACTTACAACAGTGAGGCCAGGAAAAAGTGGTTTGAAGTCAACAACTGTTCATCACTCAGCCATGGCAACCTAATTTCTGTTTAGTCATATGTGCTAAGTGTATTGTAAACAATCATGGCCAAAAACAGGTATTTCAGCTTTTACCAGTACAATTCAAACTTTCATATAACTAAATAGCAGACAGCAGAAAAAATGCATTGTACAAAGTTAGGAGAGTATTTATGCAAGAAACAAAGTATTGTTACACCTACCAAACATGATGAAAACATTCATATAAACTAGAAATGTGTCAATAGGACACGGGTGCCCCCACCGCGCCACTGTTCTGTCAATCTTTTTACTAAGTCAAGGAAAATAACTCTACAAATACTGGATAAATCCACAAGCAAACCCCAGGTGCAAATCTAAAATATGCTGAGCAACCTGCCCATAAGGTTTAATGACTATGTCAAATCCTTTTTGAGAAACTTGCGACACAAGTTGAAAATTGCAAAAATTTTCTAAGTGAAGGGCAATAACTCTAAAAATACTAAATAAATCCAGACGAAAATACCTGGTGCACAACTGCACATGCTGATCAATATTCCTGTAAAGTTACATGACTCTAGGTCAAATACTTTTTGAGTTACGTGCGACACATGTTGAAAATTGCCAAATTTTACTAAGTCAAGGGCAATAACTCTGAAAATACTAATGATATGCACACGAAAATACCCAGGTGCACAACTACACATGCTGATTAACATTCCTGTAAAGTTTCAGGACTCTAGGTCAAATACTTTTTGAGTTACATGCGACACAAGTTGAAAATTGCAAAATTTTACTAAGTCAAGGGCAATAACTCTGAAAATACTAAAAATATCCAGACAAAAATACCCAGGTGCACAATTACACATGCTGATCAACATTCCTGTAAAGTTTCATGACTGTAGGTCAAATACTTTTTGAGTTACATGCGACACAAGTTGAAAATTGCAAAATTTTACTAAGTCAAGGGCAATAACTCTGAAAATACTAAAAATATCCAGACCAAAATACCCAGGTGCACAATTACACATGCTGATCAACATTCCTGTAAAGTTTCATGACTCTAGGTCAAATACTTTTTGAGTTACGTGCGACACAAAAGTGAACGGACGGACGGACGGAAGGACGGACGGACAAGGGTAAATCTAAATGCCCGCCACTAACGTGGGGGCACAAAAATAACACCTTTAAAAAAAAACATCTGTTATAAAAATTAGAATTAAAATTTAAATACACATTAGGCCTAATAACTTAACTTAAAATAAGCAGTTTTCATGTCAGAATTTCAAAATAACATTTTTTTTTATTAAATTTCAACTTTAAAATTATTTGAGATGCTTCTTTCAATGTTGGCAACAATCCAAAAATAGTTATTAGGATTCCTGAATGATAAAAAACAGTTCTAACTATAGTCATACTAGGAAAGAATATACTAGCATAATAAGAAGATAGTACTCTAGTTTTATATATTTCTACTCTCTCTCTCCCTCTCTTTATATCTATATCTCTTTACAACTAACTTTTAATAAAAGGGGACACAACTCTAATGAATGTCAGAAGAAAGAAAGACAACTCTTACATTCCTTCTAAAATGCTATACTTAGGTAAACAGTTTAAAGGGGCCTTCAGCTTTTAATTTTTGTTGAAAAAACAATTCTGTACTGTTTCAAAGTAAGTATTTCAGTAATTTTATCTTAGAAAAGTGCATCATATCACTTTGAGGCCTTCTTCAAAACAGCGTCCTGAGAGCTATTTACAAAGTGACAGTGCCATTTGTTTCTAAAAATAGAAGATCAGGAAATGTATCTTCTGTTTTACTAATTTACATATAGAACATTGACTGATAGAGGTATCGTGGGCTTTCCTTATTTTGTTAATATACTTTATTGACACCAAATTTCATTTTCCAATTTAGTTATTTTCAATTGACAATTATATGAAACGATTTGAAAAAACTGAAGGCCACTTTAAAGTTAGCAATCTATATAGTTAAATTTCAGATAACTATACTGTATATTTAATTATGTCCAACTTAGATAGGTATAAACTTGAAGTAAATAAAGCTAAATTTGTTAGCAAAGGAAGAGAACTCCTATATGTTAATAAAGTATATTAAACTAAGGAAGATAACTCTTTCAAGCAATGTATCACTGCAGTCTAGCAAGGGAGGTAAGTATGCAATCTTTCAAGACATGAGAGCTCATTTAAACTGGGTCAAAACTTATATACATATTGTCTAACCTTGAACTCAGATCTCAGCTATCTGATTGGTCAATAACCAGCAGAGATTGTATATATTGACCAATGAAAAACCTGGAGATTTGAGAGATCTCAGAAAATAGTTGATCAACCTTGAGCTTTGATCACCTGTAGTAATGTACAGGTCAAGCCCAGGGTTTTTATTTTTATCTGAAGCAACCGATGTGCCAACAAAAACAACTGATTAGGCCAAGGGTCAAGGGGGATATATGAATCTACAGGCTGAAAATACAACTGATTTTAACAGTATTTCAAATAGAGCAAATTAGCCACTTCAAATGCAAAATAGTCACTTCAAAATAAAGCAAAATAGATTTCTACTCAGGATTATAAATTTAGCATACTTTTTAAAGAAAACTATTAAATGAGCTCTCTGTTAAGTTTGAGTATACAGGACTTTTTTCCCTACAATGAAAAGGGGCCTAGGCCCTTTTGATTTGTGACAGACAAAGCGCCATTTTCCTAAATGATGTTAAAGAAGAATCACAATTTTGACACAACTTGTGAATTTTTTTTTAAAAACAACCCATAGCTTTCTTTATTTCATAAAAACAACATTAACTGGAGATATTCAAACATAAAATGTTTAAATACCTTTGATTTCATCAAGTTGTAAATTATCTTGGAAAATTCATGGTAATAGGTGAGACTGCTTTAAATACTAAAATTTTGTTGTAATTCTGTTAAGTGGCCACAATCAAAGAAATACTGGATTGTGAAAGTGGCATTTCTTTCAGTTAAGAAGCTGGTATTTTTGAAATGGCCTTTATACGACCCCTATTATATAGTGAAAGAAGCCCTGGTATTATGTTAGTATGAATCAAGCACTCGTTTCTAGTTAATTTTCAAGCACTCTTCTATATTTAGAATTGTTCAAGCACTGTTCAAGCACTTCACTCACTGATACGACTCCCGCTGGCTGAGATTGAGGTCATCGGGTTGGAAATAACCCCCGACACTCTTGGATCTGTGATCTGCCCTGCGGGCCCCACACTAGCTGACGATGACGGCCCTAATTTAATACATTTTACATAACTCATTTAAAACTAAAAAACTGAGAAAAAAATGATATGGGAATTCTTCAAATTAAGAAAAAATATTGCCTTTCAAATACTTAAGAAAACAAAATAATTCAACACTAAAACTGCAATTTCATCATTTTTACTGCAAGACAAACTTAAAACAGGACAAAAAACAGACATAGTTAACTACTTAACTTTTCTCATACATTTACAAGAGCCATGTCAACATGGCCATCCCAAGCCGAATGTGTTTGCTCATTGGAAGAATGTATATGTAGTAGAGCGGAATAATTCCATTTTAAGAGGTCTTTTGGTAATGAAAACTGATGGCTATAATGATTACAGATTTGAAACCTATGTGAATACTGATGGCTGAAAATAACAAAGGGCAATTACTGAAAAATAATGCAGGGTAGGTTATCATTCTTGTGTGCTGCATCCCTCCTCAGTAAAATCTATCCACCTATGAAGTTTCAAGTTGATACCTCAAATACTTTTTGAGAAAAAAATTGAATTGAAAAATTAAGTATGAAAAAGAACAAAGGGCAATAACTCAAAAATTATAAAAGGTAGAGTTATCATTCTTGTGCAGTGCACACCTCCTGAGTAAGATCTATGCACCTATGAAGTTTCATTTTGATATCTCAAAGGCTTTTTGAGTTATGCTCTGGACAAAAATTAATTTTGAAAGATAACAAAGGGCAATAACTCAAAAATAATGCAGGGTAGAGTTATCATTCTTAAGCACTGCACTCCTCCTTAATGAGATCCATCCACCTTTGAAGTTTCAAGTTGATACCTCAAATACTTTTTGAGATAAGCTCTGGACAAAATAACATAAAAAAAACAAAGGGCAATAACTCAAAAATTGTATAGGGAAGAGTTATCATTCTTGCACACAACATTCCTCCTCAATAAGATCTATCCACCTATGACATCTCATGTTGATATCTCAAACACTTTTTGAGTTATGCTCCACTCAGGTGAAAAATTAGGTATGAAAAATAACAAAGGGCAATAACTCAAAAATTATGAAAGGTAGAGTTATCATTCTTATGCAGTGCACACCTCCTGAGTGAGATCTATGCACCTATGAAGTTTCATGTTAATATCTCATAAGCTTTTGGAGTTATGCTCTGGATAAAAATCAATTTTGAAAAATAACAAAGGGCAATAACTCAAAAATCATGCAAGGTAGAGTTATCATTCTTGTGCACTGCACTCCTCCTCAATGAGGTCTATCCACCTATGAAGTTTCAAGTTGATACCTCAAATACTTTTAGAGATATGCTCCGGACAAAAATGTCGGACGGAAGGACGGAAGGTCGGACGGACGGAGACTATTTCTATATCCTCCGCCGAAATTTTTCGGCGGGCGATAATTAAAAAAAAAAAGATTTGAAAAGAAATATCAACCAAAGAAATACTAATACTCAATGTCCAATAGTCACACAGAAATTACACCTGCCCAAGGATCAAACCATCAACTCCTGGATTTCTAATCCAATGCTCTCCCTATTGATCTAGACATGTGGACCTATGATTCAATCATTCATATTCTATTCACTTTAAAAGCGCAACAACAAAAAAAATGAATATTAACAAATTAATGAAATGCTAGGTTAAAATATTAAAGATATATAACAGGGTTCATACCCATGCCAGACATCCTACTGAAGCCATCTACTGGGGGATGTTGAACGGTCTGTGAGAGGTCACTTGATGTACCGCTGTCCAGTCCAGAAGCTGAACCAATCTCATTACCATATTCATCCTTGACCAATCTTGATGGTGGCGCTTAAATTATACAAGAAATTGTATTATGAAGGTGGCACTAAAATTATACAAGTAATTGTATTATGAAGGTGGCACTAAAATCATACAAGTAATTCTATTATGAAGGTGGCACTAAAATTATACAAGTAATTGTATTATGAAGGTGGCACTAAAATCATACAAGTATTTGTATTATGAAGGTGGCACAAAAATCATACAAGAAAACGGACTTTGAAAGTGGCACTCAAATAATACAAGACATTGGATTTTGAAAGTGGTGCTAAAATCATACAAGAAATTGTATAATGAAGGTGACTCTATAATCATACAAGAAAATGTATTATGAAGGTTCCATTAAAATTATACAAGAAATGGTCTGAAGTATCTCACCTTGTATGATTTTTAAACATTCTAATACCTAATGAACTACAGTATATTGTATGATTATAATGAATTCAGTGATTTTTTCCCTGTATTTTACAGCTGAATAAAGGATGTTTCTCTTAGCTCAAAATAGGTATATTTCCCCTAAAAAAGCTAATATTTTCCCCTGTTATGCCCTGTGTGCACTTCTTCACCAGAACCATTACTTAACAGCATCTGACTTATTAGAAGACAAAAAGCTGTCCCTATAGCCTCTGCTATGTACTATGCATGTTAAATTTAATTGAAATTTTTATAAAATGTGTGGGTAAATTCAATTCTTAGTTGTTGGAATTTGATTTTCCCCCTTTTTTGATATATCGAGTTATATTTTCCCCTTCAGAAAGCCACAGGTTGTTTTGAAAATTAGAAAAAAAATCACTGGAATTAAACAATTAATGTGAAGAAAACTCAGACGCATCAACATTAAAATTTTATTTGTACTTTAGTGTTTAATGAAGAACTGTACAAATGTTAGTTTTACAAAAATATATTGTAGTTCGACACATAACTCCCATGCCCATGTGAAATATCTTTTAATTCTCATGGCCTTATATAATATTTTGTTGATTTTCCAATTCTGTCAAAAAATATTTTGATGATATCTGTGCCCGCTCATCAATTTTAAGAAAGTTAAAATTCTTTGACCATTTGTGTATCATACTCACCAGCATGTTGGATGGTCAATCCCGACAGATCTATTCCAGGGGAGACAACTCTCTCATAATGATAGGGATTCACACAAACACTGTCTTGTTTCAGATCAAATGCGTATTGGCAGTATTTAACGTGCTTTAGTTCATTTTTATGAAGATCGGGCCACCGCCAAATTCTGGCATAAATAACATGTGGAAATCCTTTCCTGCCTGCTACCTGTAACAATGTTAACATTAAGAAATATTATTTTGACTGATTTTGCAATTGGGAAATTTATTGCAACACTTATCATTTAAAATTTGAGAAAAATAAACAAACTATATCAAGTGAACTATTGAATAACAGGGATCATTCTGGTCAGGATTTTTAGTGAGAGATTTTCTCTCATTTGAGAAATTTTAATGAGAGAAATTAGATTTTCTTGAGAGGTTAAAAATATGGAAATTTCTAACTTTTTAAAATCACTGTACATATAAACAGAGGATATAAGAAGATGTAGCTCTGTTTTTTACAGTGATTTTTGTTTTCACTTTTTTAACACATGATCCTATGCCTTTTAATTTTGTGAATTTTTAAACATAATAAAATTCTAATTCAGTGAAAAATAAATATAACATCTTTATTCTGAAATATAAAAGAATTATACATGGATATCTATTACAACTATTATTTGCAGCCAATGTTCCTAATGGACAACACTGTACTGTACAGAAGTGATTGTTGAGATTTGAAGAATATTTTTTATAACCTTACATTTTGTTTTCTTTATGATTCACTTCACACACCTCCCTCCATTAAAAAATATTCATTGAATATGAGATTTGAAGAATATTTTTTATAACCTTACATTTTGTTTTCTTTATGATTCACTTCACACACCTCCCTCCATTAAAAAATATTCATTGAATATGAGATTTGAAGAATATTTTTTATAACCTTACATTTTGTTTTCTTTATGATTCTCTTCACACACCTCCCTCCATTAAAAAATATTCATTGAATATGTGACCTGAACACATAATGACAAATATCTCCATATCCACAAATATAAACAATATCTAAAGTAATTTTTATTCATAAACATCATTTTTAGTGTTATAAAACACCTTTAAATAACACTCAGCTTCCTTTTAGTATTTTTTTATATCACGACATCGCGAAAATATGTGACAAATGAATATTTGTCTGTTTTCCGCTGAAACATTCACAATTCTAGCTGTTGCTGATTGCAATTATATAAAATTAAATAGTTTTGTTCAATAAAAGAATATTTATTATCGGCTATTTCATCAGGAATCGTAAAACAAAATTTTTAAATTTGTTCTTTACGGCAAAATTTACCGTGGTTGATGTGACATTTAGAAGACAAATTTTACCGGTATTTGTTTTTGACATGTCCATTTTTATTTTAGTCTGTGTCTTACAATTTTTATTAAAATCAATTAAAAGTGTTTTGTGTAAATTCTCGACTTACAGATAGATAAAAGTCAGCCATCATACCGTATTTCTGTATGGTGAATTTGCTGTCTCCGATCGGCAATTATTTTAGGCTAAATAATTCAAAGTGTTGGACTACTTTTTGGAGTTTTTTTTTTACACCGATTTCATTAATAAACAATTTGAAATTAAATTGATGGGAATCGTGAATTTTTCGTCATATTTTTGTGTAATTTTAGCATTCTTTAGATTGTGATTAGACATTTTACGGCTCAAATTGCCGTGCGAGATTTTCTCTCATTTTACAAATTTCTCTGAGATTTCGGTGATTTTTTTGCGAGAAATCGCAGAAATCGCCCCCTAGAATGATCCCTGAATAATAGTATAAAATAACTCTATGAATTTGTAGTATAGACCTAACTACAGATATTAATTTGAAATAAAACATTTTCTCTTTCAGCCTAACAGACTCTGAAATAAAATCAAGCTTGCTGAGAAAAAAATCTTCATCTCGAAGAATCTAATATAGAATTTTTATTATTTCCTAAATTAGAAAAACAACAATTTTCAGCTAAGGGCTTCCATTTTTTAACACAAAAACAATAACTGAAGAATATCTAAAAGATATTAACATACTTTTTTAAGACCGCAAGACTATTAAATTGTTAAAAAAGCCCACATAAGCTATTATTACGATTATAAACTAAATCATTGTAAATGATCTGAAATTACAGTGTTTTTTTTCTTTATATAACTACTACCCTAAAACGGTACCATTCCCAATAGAAAATAGACATTAAAATTCCCAATTTCCAATGTTAAATTTCCAAAATGACTGTTCAAAATGCCCACAAGGCAAAGAGATTTTTCTAAAATCATTTAAATCCAACATATTCATATAAATCACCACTCAATAGTTCTATCTAGACAGTAGAAGCTGTTAGCTATCTTTATTCATGATGTCTAATCTCATTTGTAGCTGAAAAAATGCATTAAAAAAATTCCCAATTTTAGTCAAAATAACGCATTTTTTCCCAATCAGTCTGGTACCGGCACCATTCCCAAAGTAGAGAAAAACAAGAAACATGGCAATGCCATGAAACCAGGTTTTCAATTATCACCATTGTAGAGAAATATGTTGAAGTTGAAATACAAATACAAGCAACAAACAATGTAACTATGTGCAATGTAAATCATGAATAATGTAGGAGGAATCGCACACAGAAGAATTGTTCACTATATATTCTGTATAAGGGAAAAAAACAAAGGGCCATAATTAGGTCAAAAATTATCCAATCACAAAACCCCGACACTATGCGCCAAGGCACTTGATGACAAAGCTTCTGTGAAAGTAAGAACAAAATCCATTGAGAAATGAAGGAGTTGAGCATAGAAGAAATTGTTCATTATATATTCTGTATAAGGAAAAAAAAACAAAGGGCCATAATTAGGTCAAATATTATCCAATCACAAAATCCCGACAATATGCGCCAGGGCACTTGATAACAAAGCTTCTGTGAAAGTTTGGTCAAAATATGTTGAGAAATGTAGGAGAAGTTGCGCACAGAAGAAATTGTTCACTATAAATTCTATATAAGGAAAAAAAACAAAGGGCCATAATTAGGTCAAATATTATCCAATCATAAAACCCTGACAATATGCGCCAGGGCACTTGATGACAAAGCTTCTGTGAAAGTTTGGTCAAAATACGTTGAGAAATGTAGGAGGAGTTGCGCACAGAAGAAATTATTCACTATAAATTCTATATAAGGAAAAAAAAACAAAGGGCCATAATTAGGTCAAATATTATCCAATCATAAAACCCTGACAATATGCGCCAGGGCACTTGATGAGAAAGCTTCTGTGAAAGTTTCGTCAAAATCCATTGAGAAATGTAGGAGGAGTTGCGCACAGAAGAAATTGTTAATGCCCGCCCATTCCCCCGCCCGCTGACATACACCTCAATCTAATAACCAGTTTTTTTCCTTCGGAAAACCTGGTTAAAAACGCTGAATTAATATATTCAAATAATAAGTGACTACATATTATATTTGAAATATTTGACTCCTGTAATTGTTGTGTTATTTGTAACAAACTAATTTACTTTACAAATAACATAACACACTACCTGCAACCGTCCATCTAAAGTCCGCTGGATAGTTACACATTTTGAAGGATGCGCACCACTGGTTGTTATGGCTGTTATCAAGCTATCTAGCTCATCTCGTTTCTCCTTTAACTTCTTAACAAGGGATTCTATTGCACGTTTGGCGAACGATTCACTCTCTCCGCCTTGCCGATGGCACATCAAACTGTGAACGATGCTCAAACAGGCGTCAGCGCTGGTTGGAGCGGAATGCGACATTTTTTTATTGTCAGATGTACGAGATGTTATGTGAGATGAAAACACTAATATTAAAATGTTTCAGCCTCATATAGCTATAAACCGAAATCTCACTGGCATTGTTTGCTTGTTTCCCATATGTCACATCATTCTGGTTTAGTTTGTAATACAAAATATTATGATTTGCCTCTTTTGTATCATATCATAAGCACATTACATCCTCCAGTTTCACTCCTATGACCTCATCCTGCAGAAAGCAATAACAAAATTGTCTATGTGTTTGTAGACTAAATAAAAGCTATGTATTTCGCAAAAATAATAATTACCATTACTCACGCAGCCCTGTTATCTTGGACTCAAAAGAAGCGACAAAAAATTAACTTCAAAAATTGATATAAAAATGTGGAAAGGAATAGATAATTTGGTCAGACATAATTTATTATTTATAAGTAACATCACATTTTGTTACGTAAATACTCTAATCACTTTGCCATAGTAAAACATGATGGCTGAAATCTAACAACACTATGAACCAAAAATCTTGCTCAAGGGATTGTGGGTAGGACAGGAATTTTTCTCTCTATTTTTAAGAGTCTACAAATGGGTTATAGTGATTGTCATGCAGAAGTGAGTATATGAACAAATGTAAAGACCATAGCATATCAGAAGGCAGGGCTTTTTTTCACAGGTTGGGGAAGCAGCCCAGCCCTTAATTTTGGGGAAAAATTACATGGTATATTTGCAAAAGGGGAAGGAAAAACTTGATGTAAATTCTATTTGTGGGGAAAACTGCATGATTTTAAAGAAATTTTATTTGGGGAAGCAGCCCTATACCGGCCCCTGTTATAGAAGGTAAAAAGACGATGGAAGGATCTACATCTTTTAAGCGGCTTGACATAAATGTTACATAGATAGAATCTGAACTCTTTCAATTCCTCTTTGTAATAAGACATGTAATAGCACCTTTTTCTATAATGGTATTAAAGATTGGAATAGTTTGCCAGATGATGTAAAATGTATATCAAATCCAACTTTATATAAAAATTCTGTTAAAAGCCATCTTGCTTCAATATGGGCTGCGCAACATCAAAGTGACTTTTTATATTAATAATTAAGTGGCGACACAGGTTTCGCCAAACTTTATTGTTTTTAGTTATCTTATTTTTTCCTGTGCCTTTCTTTCTGTGATAATGCAAAACTACTGTGATTGAATAATTTGAAGGTTATCTCATTGTCTATTTTTATTTGAGGAATGAATGTCTCTCTGGTTTTATCTTGTTTCCATCTATTTGGTTAACAGGACCCCATTGGAAATAAGCACACCAGCTTAATGGGCTATCCTTGTAACCATAGATCACTATTTAACAAAACCCTTGTATTGAAATTTTATTGAAATTCTTTTACTTCTTTTATATCATGTTTATCAGTAACTTTAAACAATATTCTGTGATAATTATAATTCTGACTATTGTAGTCTTAACCTGAAATGTGATTTTATTAATTTATTCATTTGCTTCTTTTTTTAAATACATTTATCCTATGCCTCATCTGATCTCAGTCATTAACTAAATTTGTTTTATTTATTATTAATATGACATGATATTTTAATTTGGATAAACTGTTATTTTATATATATATTTATTTATATATATATCTTATTATGTAACTGTGATCTATGTTGTTGCTAAAATAAAATAAAAAAAAATAAAAAACTGTTTGATTTCCAAATGTCACATACATATATATATAATATGGTGACAATTCAGTGTTGTATCAACTTGGAACACTAGTCTTGTCAGCTGACAATTGAATTAAGTACTAAAAATATCAGTGCAACATTTTAGGTAATGGTTATCATTTATAATAAATCAAATTGTATATAAAATCACTGCTACAACGTCTTCCTTTGTTGTTGACATCGCAGACATCGTGGAGCCAGCCAACATGCAGGGGTTGGATTTTTGACAGGCAGTTCGTGTTTGTTTTTAACATATCCGGTGACTGTTAAAGTTTCAAAAATATAACGTGTGTAAAAAAGATATAATATTCAACAATGTCAACAGTTCAATATTATCTTACCGTAATTATGAAAGGAATAATTGCGAAAATAAATGGGCAATTTATGTGTTTTCTTACGCGGGGAAATCAAAACACCGTTTTACGCATGCGTATGTTAATTGCAAATATTTTATTTCCGCCGGTGTACTTCAAAATTTCCGACAAGATAGAAAATCCTAGGAGGCCCGTATTGGGTCATATATTGGGTCACTGGGAACAACTTAAGATGTGTTGTTTTTTTAATTTTTCATTAGTCATTTACTCCTTGATTTTGGCATGTGACTTTCCAAAACTTAATGTTTTTCCTTTACATATTTAATGTGACTTCCATTTTCAGAGATTTTGCAGTCTCTGACAACTAAATGGAAGCCTTGCATAAATATTTGAAAATGACATATTCGTTTTGTGTGTACTGTAGTGCCAACATATATTTATTCTACCGCCAAAATTATTTAGGCATGCACAGGTCAAATCATAACAGCGTCAGACCTAAATATTTACATTTTATTTTTTTTTGTGACGAATTGTAAATTGAATGCACTTACTAATTTTTCCAACGTTTTGAATAGAAATCATGGACAGTCTTTCAACGATTAAGACACATTTTAGATTTATTTCATCGCTTTATTTTTCAAAGTAATAATCTAAACGGTTCTTCCGGCTTCAAATACGTTCATAATATGATATAGGTGGACGCTGGAAGTTTACTTCTATAAAACTGTAACAGCAAACGTATACCTTTTTTCGACATTTTTTAAATGACGTAATCGACAGCATGTTATACACTATAAACATTTACAGGCTGTTAAAATTACTTCAAATCGATAAAAAAACCATAGTGCTCAAAACTATGTTCTTGGATAGCGTCTTTGTTGTTATTGGAAAGAAAAGAAAAAAATACCCCCCCAAAAAAAAAAACCAACAACAACAATTCGTCACTAGTTATTTCAAGAAAATAATGTTGTTTTTTTGCGTGTCTAATTTATTTTGTTCTTCAAATAACATGTACATAAACGCAGGTCTTTCTTTCCATGTGTTTGCATGACCGGGTCTTTTTGACAAGATCACACAGGTTTGTGCACGTGCAAAAGATATACCTATTTCTGACAATAGAAGAGGCGTGTTATATCGTTATACGTCATATAGTATATAATACACATTTGAAACCTCATAATCGATCAAAGATAATAGATCTATGTAGCTGATCTGATTTGGAAACATTGCAAATTCCCGACCCTTTCCAAGTAGGATGATATACCAAACGAGTTTTTTTCTCTACATCCCGTCAACACTCGTCCCCGAAATGTAGGGCTATCGAAATGTAGGATACATATATATTTTTATTGTTGTTTACTGACGTCATATCTGACATCATAAGACGTGTACAAGCATTTCTTTTGCGATAGAATAGACTTTATATTCTAATGGATGTCAAATTTATGAAGATACGTTAAAATAATATATAAAAACGAAAAATAAAAGCGCTAATTCGTTCATTTTTAAGCATCTATATTAAGTTTTAGACGATAAATGTGGATGATTTCGACTGGAATACTTTGTTAGTTTCCGTATTCTAGATCATATATGAGCGTGGATATGTACATGAGCGATTGCTTAAAGCTGCGTGCCTCCAGATGAGCCAAAATATTTCAAAATCAATATTGAGAAAAAATGCACTAAAATTTTAAGAAAGGTAAAAAAAATCAAGATCAAAGTGACATTTTACATGTTATATGCGCTTTAAAACTGTTTTTGCTGTATTTTATCACCATATTTCTACTGCGTTACTAACGCAGTAATGGCTGTTTTTGCATATGTTGACCACTTTTTGATTGTAAGTGCCGATTGCAAAATGTTAATTGCTTTATTTGTTCATTTTTCTTTTTAAACAAAATTCAAAAATTTTCATGAAAATTAACATGAATCTGGAGGCGTGCTGCTTTAAGGTTGTCAGATGTATTTGACTACAAACTTGCCCCTCACCGCTGTGGGTTCGAATCCCGACAGGGACTTTGGATTCTTTCATGTGAGGAAGCTATCCAGCTAGCTTACGGAACGTCGGTGGTTCTACTCAGGTGCCCGTTCGTGCCTGAAATAATGCACGGAAGGGCACCTGAGGTCTTCCTCCACCAGTAAAGCTGGAACGTCGCGATATGACCTATACTGTGTCGATGTGACGTAAAACCAAAAAAACAAACAAACAAATTTGACTACAATTGGTTGTAGGTACCTCAGGTTTTTGTCACGTCTGCTTTACATGATAATTTTCACACATGGCTGAAATTAAACTTTTTTTTACTATGTTATCCTTATGAAACAAATTGTTAAGTTAAATAAATATTAATATATAAAATTAGAACTATTCCTATCCAATATAAACCCCATTAACTGGCTAAATTGAAAAAATATGTTTGAACAAAAAACAAAACCGGAAAAGTTGTTTACAAAATCGCGCGCAATCGGGTATTATTATCTAATATGTAGGTCGGGTGCGCAGTTTTGATCGCTGATACAGGTTTACAAATAGCATATTTTATATAGGGAAGTTATAAACATCGTGTCACGACAGACCAAAAATGTGTTTTGATAAATTCGATGCTTTACAATATGACAGAAAGGTGCCTTCAATTTAGTCATCTATGATTTTAAAACAATCCGTTTGAATCTGGAATTTAAGTTAATATTACGCAATATTACATACAGTCTATACATCTAATATTTGGAATTATTTAAGATGGGAAATTATTCAATATGCTTCAAGATTGGATATTTTAGATACGTGACTCAGAATATTCGACCAATGCAGTGCATTTTATAGGATAATTTCGTAACAACAAAATAACGATTGCTATTTAACCAGTATTTGGTGTGTGTAGGACTCAGGGTAAGAAAAACGAATGCATAATTACTTACATTGTTGTTGTTAAGAATTAATATATGGGTTCATATATGTCAAAATGATTTCACGTTTTCTTCTAGATTCTGAAATATATTTTGCTTAATTGCCCATATATACATGAAATAGTTCAATAACTCATAGCACAATTACTTTGACTTATTGTTGCATCTGCAATGAGTAATAAATTTGAATTATATATAGTGTTAAAATCTTTTTTATTGTTGTTAAATACTAATTAGATTTCACATACTAGATTTGTGCTTTATATACATGTACATACAGTACAAATGGAAAACGGCGAAGGTCTTCAGCATTTGTTGTCAGAGACATTCGCGGAGTTGTCAGGGAAATTTAAAGAGTTTAATGACACAGTGGCTGAAACACATACAGACGAAGCAAGTGTTAAGAAAATGCTTGAATCAGCATTCGTCTGCTGGGAAGGAATCACCGGAATTATGGAACGGTTTAAAACAGACTTAAGAAAGGTGAGATTCTAAAAATAGTTTCTAAAAATAGATCAGGAACTGCAGTAAGCCGTGTCCCATTAAAATGGCGGTATGGGTGTTTAGGCTACTTTAAAGCAGCACGCCTCCAGATTCAAGCTTATCATGAAAGTTTTGAAATTGTATTCAAAGTAAAATATCGTGAAATGAACAAAGATTGCAAACATCACTAGTTTATATACGCAGTAGAAATATTGTGATGAACACTACAAAATCAGTCCGCACATAACATTTAAACTTTATTTGAATCTTGAACATTCTTATTTTTTAAACCTTGTTACATTTTTCTCAAGTTTGATTTTCTTTAAAAATGTTGGCTCATCTGGAGGCATTCAGCTGTAACAGATAAGCAATATATTGTATTGAAATTGAAAAGAACGTCATCGCTGGCTGCATTTCTATGAAACGAGCACAAAATACTGAAACCAATTATTAATCGATCATAAATAATTCCAATTGTGTTCATAAATGTGCATTATATTCAATAAAGTATTCTTTTTGAAATCGTAAAATGCAAAGCATCTGGCATACTTACTAATTTTATCATAAGTATGTGAGCAGTTCTGACGTGTGTGAGGGGGGGGGGGGGTCCCTGAATGTCAACTTAAAGCTTTTACTATTTTCGTGCCTTATTTCATATTCGCCGGGGTATAAAACGATTTCAAGTATTATGTGTATTGTGTTAAACAGAGAGAGAGAAAACACTTGTATTTTATTTATTTGACTGGGTTTATAGATATGTATACCTGTTAGAAAACAAACCTCTTACACACCTGCTTTTTCAATTTTATTTCTTTAATTTTATTTTGAAATGATGGTGTTTTAATGTTCCAGTGACTGTTATCATAACATATTTTCAAATGTCGATACAATGGCAAGGGGACACTTTAATATTTTGTTTATTTTGCTTCAGTAGAGAATATATGCCATCGAGAAGTAAGAAATATTTCAAGTGTTTTCAAGTGTCAGCAATGCATGATCACAAACCATTATTTACTTCAAAGTGAAATTTGAAATATCTGTTTACGAATAGACTTATAAATCAATCTTCCGGTAATGAAATGATCCTCCTGAAGCAATGATTATAAATTTGAAAAAAATTGCAGATTTAACCCGGTTTGATCGAGTTTTTTCTTGTCGTATATTCACCTCGAAAAGAAGTTTTACTTGGTGGTATATTGTGAAAGACGAAATTACGACATGGCGTTAATCAGTCACCATACTTTAAAACAAGGTGTTTTTATTCTATCCATACACACACAAATATGAATAAATGTTATAATATTGTAAATTTATTAAAATGTGAATACAACAAGATATTATGTTCTAAAGCATATGTTTATCAGACATTTAATGCTCATTGAAAAATTTAAAAAGTACACTGAATTGTCATGTTTTTTTTTCATTCTTGATTAAAGTCTTACCAAAGTAAGTACAATTTGAAAAGAGGTCGTGAAAGGGGGAGGGGGACATTTTGTTAGGATTTTTTTTTCTCAAAGCAAATACAGAATAATGACCATTGCAGACCTTGGTCAAACACGGCACTGATGTGCAGCCTGATCTTGAAATATGAGGTTACAATCACAAATTTCGCGGATGAATATCTTTTGTACCCAATGAAAAATGTTCGGCTATTTCCGTAAAGCTTAATCAATGAAAATGCTATTTTTAGCTATGTCGATTACCAAATACTCCAGAGCGTAGTACACAAATAAATCTGACTGCCGTGTAGTGGAATCTATACATGTCGTACTGTTTTGTTGAGAAGATTTTCGCTAAATTATTTTCATCAGTGTTAAACGTGAACAAAATACCTCGAAATTAGTAAGGATTACAAACACGAAATGGAAATTCTCAAATTAGAATTACAATGTATTTGTTTTTATTCAAGCTACATATGTATTACTTCACCGCGGTGCAGAGGTAGCGCGCTCGTTTAGGATGTGAGAGGCCAAAGGTTCAAATCCTTGTCGAGGCAACTTTTTTTTTTGAAGTGTCTTTTTTAAGGAAGTAGCCACGATATGCAAGGATAAAGTGTGGCTGTCATTTTTTGATGCAACTCTAGTCATGCAAAATTCCATAAGTATCAATCTCAAACTGTTATAGACGCAGTCGCTGCGTAAGATTAATTATAGTATATAAAAATAAACTTATACTGGAAAATACATACAGATAGTCAGTATGATTTAGATTGCAAAGATCAGAAAATACCACAGAGGTTGAAGCCCTTTGATTATTTGTTTGGGTCGTCAGACCAAACGAATAATGGTAGCGACATTTCAGACTCTAATGCTGTTAATTGCAAATGCCGAAAGTAGTCCGCTTTTTTTGAAGCGGTTACTTCCCTTTATATGTAACACTTAGGCCGAAAAATTCAGGGGAGATCACTGCGTAAATATGGTCACATGACAGGCGCATTAATTTTCAAGCAAAATAATTCCCGATTGGTCGAAGATTTCTAAAATTGTTTTATTCTTTATAGATATACGTGCTTATAGTAAGCGCCATGATTATTTACACAAGTGTTAAACAACAGTTAGCGTCGTTACAAACCCTATTTTAGAATAATATGGTTTTCTTCAGGCCGTTAACATATAAATTCACCGTGGCCGAGGGGTTTACGTGCTCGCTTAGGAAGCGAGAGGTCTGGAGTTCAAATCCCAGTTAAGGCAACTGATTTTTTTTCAAATTGTTTCAGTCAAATAAACATTGGATTGAATATCATTGTTGCAATTAGTCTTATAGCCAATCTACTACATTTAAAACGCTGGAAAGCATTGGTGGCACTATACAAAAACAAATTGTTTTATAATCTCACAACCTTCACCTTTCTGACATTCTGAGATCCAAACAAATTCAGCACCTTCTGTGCTTTGATTTGTACTTTCGGTTTCTACAGCCATATAAGTAAATATATAAATAATGTATTGTTTGCTTTTGTACCTATGAATTCACTTATTTTAGGTGGACTTTAACTACATATATTGGAAATAAACTTGTCAACAACTTCCAGCATTAAATTACTATTTGTTTACATGTTTAGTTTCTTAGCGTAGGTTAGACCAGAATACCGCATCCGTTCTGTGTATTCATACTATTGTGTTCGAGGTCCTTATCCGAAGACTGACGGAAAGGGCCGAGTGGTTGCGATTGGGTCTCTGACATAATGAGGCGCCATATTGGAACTATACGGAACGTCGGTGGTTCTACTCAGGTGCCCGTTCGTGTCTGAAATAATGCACGGAAGGGCACCTGAGGTCTTCCTCCACCAGTAAAGCTGGAACGTCGCGATATGACCTATACTGTGTCGATGTGACGTAAAACCTAAACAAACAAATATTGGAACTACTTTCAGTCACATGGTAAAATGGCGGCCTCCATGTCCCACATTTGTGGTAAAAGTGACAGATATGTTTCTTTTATAAATGAACGAAAATGTAACAGTCGTTCTAAATCAGACATAGACAAAGTGGACAGAAGTTGTATGCGAAAAATCGAACACTGTCTTATAATGTGGGGCTAATTGTGTGAGTGCATTCGTGCTCTACGTACGAGGCCTGTTGTCCGATGCATACGGGACGAACTTTGTAGAAACAGACGCACTGTATCATTTACATTTACATTTAGTTTTATCATGACAAGCCCCTGTTACTTCCGATTACTGTATTATTTTTTACAAGCGCATACATTTCAAAGTGTATCACTTCTTGCGAGCAAACGAAGTAGAAACGTTTATCTGATGTGTGACCGCGACTTAGATATTTTTGGCATGGGCATATCTATACTCATGAGTAGGTTAGAATTTGATAGTACTTTAAAATTTATAAATGGTGAAATTATGTTGTTTTCATACTCGTTTGAATGATTCTCGAAAGAATTGTAACATAGAATGTTTCTGTTAATTAACACACATAAAAACTGTACGCAATCAGAATAATATGTTCCGTAATAAATATATAATATACTGCTATTTTGAGTAAATTTTTAACCGTTTAGCGATAAAATTAACTATTTAAGGTACTTGACAGCGAAAGCTGCTTTTGTGCAAATTTTCATGGAAATATTTTTGCTGAGGTTTAAACTGTAATGTAAGAATAAACGTAGACTATGTCACCGTGCATATCCAGTAACGCAGGAATGTGCAATTCACATACAAGTAACGCTGAATCTGTGCAATGCTATTGCCAAAAGGTATAACACAGTAAGTAAACGAACGAAAATATTTTATTCTTAATCAAATTTAAAGAAATGAATTAGCCCATACGGCTGCTACGACATTAAACTTTAACCAGCATTACAATTTTTTTCATGAAAATGTTTATTTTTTTACATCATTTACGAGAAAGAAAACCTGATTACTGTTTTGAAATAGACTTTTTGTGTTTCATCAAATAAATATGTACATTTAACACATTTAAAACATTATTTTATTCATATTCTGTATACGTAAGACATTTTTCAACCTACAAGTGTCGTTTAACAGTAGATGGAAGCTGGTTAAATAGGTTTTAGCTACTTCTAATGAGATTACCGCCGTTGCTTCAGTGCTTCATTCCCGAATTCGGCGTTACCTCGTAAAAATGGTCTCAGTTACGTTTTACCTTTTAAATTAAGTGTAATATGACACAAATAGATTGGAAAATATTTCAGAAATACAGAATATAAAAAATCATAAAGTAATATCTACGTGATTGTGTTTAAAGATATAAACGAAACTAAAAATCGCCACCAATACGCTAGTCAGGTCGTCATTTTCACGAATGATCTTGAAAAATAAACATTTTCATGGAAATATTTTTGCTGAGGTTTAAACTGTAATGTCTCAGCAACCGTATGCGCTAACATTTGTTTTCCAATTTGGTGTATAATAATAAAAATTGACCCATTTACTTATCGCGGTGCTCGTTTTAGCCACTAAATTGCACAATTCTGCGTTACTTTTGCACAATTCCAGCGTTATTTGCACATTCCTGCGTTACTGAATATACACGGTGTATGTAGAGACATACATTTCGATCATGCGCAATTCGCTCAAAAGGAAATATACCAACATATTTTTTTTCATACAGGCATTTTGGAATATCCAAAAAAATGTTAACTGTAGGCAGTAAAGATATAGCTTTACACACTTTACATGTCTCTGCGTCTAAAACTTGTTTATTATAATTTAATGCGTCTTATGAAAAAAACTTCCTTATCCGTATAAATTGTTTAATGTGCGCGCGTATGTGAGTGTGTACTTAATATTTTCAATACTCCTGAGGCATGCTGCTTGAAAGAATTGATGAAGCCTGCAACAGTGCTATTGTTTTGCCGTGAGCCGGGTAATATTTATTTGCTGCATGCCTCCAGATGAGCCAAAATATTTCATAAAGTCAAACTTGATAAAAAAAAAATACTGAGATTTTAAGAAAAGGAAAGAGATTCAAGATAAAAGAAAGATTTTCATGTTATGTGTGATTTATGTCGGATTTTGCAGTATTTTTCACCTTATATATTTACTGCGTTACTAACGCAGTAAGGGCTATTCATGCATATTTTGACCTCTTTTTTATAAAAAAACGTGGGTTATAAGTGTCATTGATAATGTGTAAAATGCTTTCTTTAGTTTACTTTAAAATATTATACATTTAATTTCATTTTTTAAACTTTTCACAAAAATAAGCATTAATCTGGAGGCGTGCTGCTTTAAAGAATAAGTATTTGCTCTGACCTGTAACAAATAGGGAATTCCATGTGTGTAATAATTGCAATGAAATCTGTGTTTTATCAATATGAACAATGTCTAACACTGCTATAAATTTGAATTTCAAGTATTTCAATGTACTTCATTTTTTTGTTCTTTTGAAAAGATAGGACTTTAAATGAACTTATTATAAAGTGGGGCAAGTAGTATCGATTTTTCTTATAACAAGTTTTTATACGTAAAATCTTGTTACGACTCAAACAGTATATTTAATGGTTCTATTCGATAAAGCAAAAATGGTACGTTTTATAATAGAAATTTTCAACATGCAAGCATGCCTCGTATATTCCTTTAGTTTATTTGTCAGGATATTTAAAGTGAATTAGTCTACAATGGGCACATCAATCAGAAGTATTTCAGATGTTGTTAAAATAATAGAAATACATCATTTTTATAAAAATCTCTTGAAATAAAAATGGTGATAAAGTTACAAGTGAAAAATTAATATGACTAGTTTATATAATTAAGAATTAAGAAACACTTTATTATCTGCTATATGAATGTATGTAATATCAAATCATGTATTTCATTTGCCATGCAGCAACACCCATAATTGAGCCGCGTCACGACAAAACCAACATAGTGGGTTTGCGACCAGTATGGATCCAGACCAGCCTGCGCATCCGCGCAGTCTGATCAGGATCTATGCTGTTCGCTTACCAACTCTATTACAAGTGGAGAAACTGGCAGCGAACAGCATGGATCCTGATCAGACTGCACGGATGCGCAGGCTGGTCTCGATCCATGCTAGTCGCAAACGCACTTTGTTGGTTTTGTCGTGACGCGGCGCTTTTATATATTTCTGTCGTGATTTGTTGTTATTTATAATACTAAATCCATTGTACTATCGATATCAATGTTATTTTTATTGTAACTTTTCTTTTTCGACAGACTTTCCGTATTCACTTTTAACTAAACTCAGTTTTGACTATATAAAACGTATGCATATTTGTTTGTCTGATTCATGTAGTACTTCGCTTATATTCACCAGTGTCTCAGTGCAACAAGTAACGGTAAACTTCTTCTCATTATCTCTTGGTGAAAACAAATAGAAAATCATACACAGGCGTCTTGCGTCTTTCAATACCTGGCAGAAAGTCAAAGTTTTCAAGTTAGTTATTTGAGCTTGTGAAAATTTAATATGTGCACTGTATATCAAAAGTGCAGAATTAATCGCGGAGCTTACATTCGTTGACTATTTTTGCCACAAATATATCCACAAGCGCTAAACAAATATTGATTTTAATGTATCTGTTCACAAACATGACAATTATTCGTTATTTTTTTACACATCCGGGTTCCTAATCGACATACTTACTCATTTTTTTCATCAGGTGCGCCAATAATTTTAGTTACTTCCTTCTTACGAAAATTGATCTCATTTTCTCATTCCATGTCAGTTTCGTCATCTTACCTCGTGAAAATCCGACAAAGTTCGTCATATTTCGAGATTTATAAAAAATATTTGAAGAGGAATAACTATAGACACAAGTCTTGATACGGAAAGGGAGACGGTATATTATGGGTATCCGAACAAATATACAAATTAATTATCAAGGTATGGTTCAATCTTGCAACAACAAACAAAGCTCACCCTTATTTTCCATAAGTGTTTCCCTTTATGTTAAAATTAGGGAATATCTAAAAGTGAAGTGTAACGAATGGCCTCGCCTTACTTGCGAAATTGTAACCAGTGCATTTATCTTGGAACAAATAACGTGCTCAAACCATTTAATCTATGTACAACCTGCACGCCTGTTAAGTCTGATCACACATACAAAATTCTGTAGTTTTGGCCGCTCATTTTAACAAATTACACCCCACCGTCACAGCACACACATTTCAAATGGAGAGTTCAAATTTCAAAACCGAACAAGTTCACTTTAAAATTTTTGCATGGCCAGGAGTGCATTTGTTTTTATATTGTCTATCAACAGCTTGTACAAGTTCTGTTTTTTATGTTATGAAACGATATTTCAAAATTACCAAATTTTAAGTAGAGTTTCATCCGTTTAGCAATGATTCTGTGCATGCCCCATTTGCTTTTAAGGCAATAAATTACCATATTTATTTCATACAAGCATTATGGAGGTAAACTTTTTTTAAAATTCAAACAATAATTTTTGCATCATATATTTAGCTTTATATTCTTTAACTTCATATATCCCGAGCAAAACTTTGTAGTGTCGAATTTTCCCATTCAAACTTTATTTTTATGATATGTTCTTTCTAGTCCAAACTTTTCTAAATAAGCATTTTAGCATTGTTCATGATTTTCACGTGTTAATATAACTTTCTAATTGCAGAGAAATTTGATAAAGGAAACTTTAATGGTACCTCAAAGCCTGCACTTAAAGACTGAAAGTTGGAAACGTAAGTGAATTGCGCATAATGTTTAACCGTTATAGTAGACATTGTTAAAGGCCCATTCTGTGTCAGAAATGATTTTTTCTTATTATTCAAAAGCTTTTAATTCTTTATGTACTTTTATAGTTTCCAAAAAGTAACTCAAAGCCAAATTACTCGAACCATGTTTTTCTTCTGTTGCTTTTTAGCTATTATTACAGTTATAATGATTTAGTATTTTGTATGGAAGTCAAAATAGTACTTTGTTTACATTTTTATCAATTTAATTATTTATTGTATTACAAACCTTCCAATATAGACCACTTCACTTTAATAACTTGTATCTTTTAAATAAATAATATATAATTTTACGTGGTATGTCAGTTCAATTTCATATTCACTACAAAGTAAAATGTAAGTAGAGATAATGTATATCCATGTGAATGCTTAATCTGTTGAGATTTTTCTTTTTCTTTTTATTTTTTTGCAATGTATGTTTTATTAAAACGATATCGCGTTTAAGGGTTTCATTTGACAGAAGAAATGACCCCTTGGTCTTGTTATTTTGATCAGATAGTAGAATTATGTCAAATTTGGAGTTTGTTTTACACATTTCACTTTGTCTTCCGACTAGTTCAACAGGGATACCATCGGTTAGGTGGACCAACCCCCGAGATATGACTACAAATACGATAAAATCAACAAAAAAAAATAATAATAATAATAATAATAATAATAAATAAAAAAATAAAAAATAAATAAATAAAAAAATCAGGCAGACAAATTTAATGCACAAATTAATACCATCCGCTTACAAATGTTGTATAAAACACTTAAGTGTATATTATCGATTGACCCAATGCAAATCAAAAAATATTTACGATACAATTATATTTCTTTTTTAAATTTATTTCAGGTGACAGCGGTATTGACACAGGTAAGTTCAAACAAAATAATGAACCTTTATTACAATCCGTGGGTTGTTGGGAAGTAAAAATTAGTCTGTGGTTATACGGTTCACATCTTTTTTTTACATGATGTTTAATACATGTATTCATTGGATTATGTTCTATACATAAGGAAGGTATAAAATTCAAACAATAACTACTTATCACAGAAATTCATACATATTTAAATAATGCTATATTATAAAACATAGAACCTAAACGTGTTTTATTCTAACAGAAATCTAAACAACATATTATCATCCTCATCATCATCATCATCATCAACAACATCATCATCATCATCATCATTATTATCCTCATCATTACTATTATCATGAACATAATGTTTTCGTTATTTTAATTATCATCGTCATCATAAACACAATGTCACTCGTATGTAATATTTTGTACAACAAGTTTGATTCTTTCGCCATTGTTACTTGATTTATTGTCATTTTTACATCAGCGTACAATTTTTACACCCTTTGAAAATTTAAAAAAAAAGTTGATCAGGTTAACAATTCGTTCTTGAATATCCTTTTATCTCAGCTGATCACAAAGTTTTTATGACAGCATGATGTTTGTTTTGTGTCGGCTGTCGTTATCTACAATCTGTTCAAAACCATATGATAGATTTTGACAAAACTTCATCGGAATTATTCATGGGTGGCCCATACAAAATCGCCCGTATATTTTATTGAAACTTGAAATAGACAGAACAGTGAAATCTTAAACACGTTTCCTCACAAATTGGTACTAATTAGTGATGATAGTGATGATGATTTGGCGATGATAATGCTGCTGATGATGATAAGTTTCATTCTGCCTTTGATAATGATCATGATTGTGAAAATTTCTCATCATTAAGAATATTATTTTGTCTAATCTTTGCCAACAGATTTGTCAATAGCTCGAATAACAGTTACTGTCTTTCATTTTCAGTCTCCTCAAGTGGATCGCCGTTTGTTTCTACAAATGTAAGAATTTATTCTATAAAGCATAATAAACCATAATAATACTTTACACCCAGGCAAGCCTACACCAAATACCGCCTGACAAGACTCGATAATGTCGGTTATTTCATCCTTACCACGCCAGATATCTTAAAGGCCCATTATGTCTGATGAATGCTTTTATTTCTCTCTGAAAAGCTTTTAATATTTTCATATCCTGTTTTAGTTTTCATAACTGATTGGCCAATTATGTGAACCATGTTTCGCTTCGGTTGCTTTTTGGAAATAAGAGCAGCAATAGTAATTCATATTTTGTATGGATGTCAAAATACTATTTTGTTTACATTTTATGATTTAATTTATGACTTAAATTACAATGAAAGTGCTACTTTCTTCAGGTGATAAGTATATAACATGCTCTAAAACCATTATAACCATTATTTAAACATAATAAAATTTATTTTTGCCCCTTCTAAATATTGGAAAATTTATTTATGTATGAGGCATAGTGGGCTTTTAAAATGGACTTATCCATCTTTTATTCTGGACAAAACCATTCATTATTTTAAGGGGACCATGTTAAGACGGCACGCATCATGTGGATGCACTGGTCACATGCGTGTATTCATTTGCCGCCAACATGCTTAGGGTTAAATATAGAACTATTTATGCTTCATTTTATTATGCTACAAAATCAAAGCATAGTTGTTTCTAAAATTTTGAAAAAAAAGTTTTTGATTTTAGTAAAACTATATCAGATCGGAAAATTTGTGCAAGATGCATTCATTCATATCACCCTGTAATTATTATTTTCCCTATATTGATTTCTTTGCCTGTCACTACATTAAATTATATTCCTCATTTTACTGACTTAACAATAAATAGAACCGAAATATTTATTTATTTTTTTAAAATTTTAACTGTTGCAACAGGCTGACATTTCGATATTTCACATTAAATGATTGGCTGAAAGGTTAAAGCTATATTTCACTTACCGGTGCATTATTTGGTGAAATATAGTTGTCTACACAGCTGCAAAACCTATATTGGACGAGATGTTGGGTAATTCAATATTGTACTCAATTAATGTATAATATTTCACGTATCTGTGCATTATTTGGTGAAATATAGATGTATACACAGTTGCAAAACCTATATTGGACGAGATTCTAAGTAATTCAGTATTGTACTAAAATAATGTATAATATTTAACGTATCTGTGCATTATTTGGTGAATTATAGATATATACACAGTTGCAAAACCTATATTGGACGATATTCTAGGTAATTTAGTATTGTACTCAACAATATACTTACATGTATATATCGTTATATTCGGCCATCTTCGACACTTTCTGCGCCCTTTATTTGTCATAAAGTATTGAATCATACCACTTGTAAGAAATGGCGAATTGACATTTTGTAACCCTCATTTCTGTTTCCATGAGCATTGGTCAATTAAAAAATATACTGTTGTGATTTTCCAGAGACTTTCTGCATGTGATGATGATAATGGCTCACCAGAAAGCGCTGTTAAATTTAATCTTAAATCAACAAACACTTCATACAGTGATTTTACAGAAGATATAATTGAGGAGCAACCCGAATATTACCAATCAGAAATAAGTACTGTTTACATACATATAATGCCCACCGACCAAACCACGGACGTGTCGGATTTACGCGAGAGAATACGGGATCTGTCACGGGCGACGTTAAAATCGGACAATGTTGAACTTCACCTGGTACCGTCTGATTCTTTTATTGGAATACCTGCGTCACGCCAATCATCTGTGTCTACCGGATGCTCTTGTTCCTCTAGACCATCACGGCAGACGTCTACGTCATCAGAAGCTCTGAATTTTGCACGAGGGCGTTTGCCTTCGTCGAATGATTCGTTAACCTCCGCCTTGTTGAACTTGTCGTCGAAGATTCCCGAAGAACATACGGACTCTTCAGATGATCAAAGTTCAAGATTTGTGAGTTTACTTGTATTTTCCTTTGACACATTTTACTGTTCAACATATTTCAGAGTAAAATGCTAACAAAGTCTCAAGTATACATGAATATTGAAATATGCAATTATTTTTGTAAAATCTTGTACAGGAACTAAACGGAGTAAATTTATTGCAAATAAAAAAGCCTGGAGAAGTTTGAAATCACCATAATGCAAATTTATTTTTATTAAGACTTGTGATTTGGTGGTTGTATACCTGAAAACTGTTGTTGACTGCGGTACAGTATTTATGTTCCTACAAAGAGGGGAAATCTTACAGGAAAATAAAATACTCTTCAAATAAAGGAGGTATAAGAAACGAAATTGAATAACAAGCAGCCGGTTAAAGACAGGCGTTTAAATTATATACAAATACTAAAGTAATAACAATTGAAAGCTCTTTTATTGAAATAATTTCTATAATATATGCAATGTTTGTTTTCAGGTCTCGAGCTCTGACAGTGAACTAAGCGTATTGCGAGGCCGGGTACAAATTACCACAGGAACGCAAACTGATTTGGAAAACTATATAAACGGTAGCGTCATAATGGCGCAGTGTTCTGCTCAAACGCAGACCGAATAACATTTTCATAGAAATGCGTTTTTGACATTTCGTGAATAAATTATCTTTTCGCAAAACGTTCCTTTTGAGAAATGGGAAATGAATAAATGCTCACCATGGAGTATATTTATATAAAGCTATAGTTGAATCATTGTGATTAACATTTAGCTTTTTTTTCATTTATACAGATTTAAATGCAAAATGGCTTCTCCGGCTTTTATAAAATAAGAATGTGTGTTTTAATGATTTATTGATTCTTAGTGTACTCTACAATCATTTTGAATATCTGTCATATTTGATCTACATTTGGGAAGCAAAATAATGTACCTTAATACTTCCTGTTAGAGAAACTAATTTATTTTGATACATGTATATCTTTTTTATTTCATTTAACCTGTATTCACGCAGAGTTATTGTGATTAACTTATCTTGTTTGGAATTTGGACCCGTCTATTGTCGTTTTCAGGAACTATCCAATACCAAGATATTAACATTCTAAAGTCTTGCAGACTAGTATTTAAAAATATTTTTTATTCAGTATCCAATCTTTTCATTCGGGCAGACGACATGTTAATCCATAAAATCTGGGCAGCTGACATTAAAATTGAAATCGGGCAGACGATATAAATAATGTAATCGAGCAGTCAAAATTACATGTATTAAAACTGAATATCGTGCAGCCATCAATATTTAAACTGTCCGCCGACATTATTAAGAATACTGAAATCGAGCAGACGACATTAATGCTGAAACCGTGCAGTCGGCATTAATACTGACATCGGACAGACGACATTAATACTAAAATAGACAGACACCATATATATTGAAATCGAGCAACAACATTAATACTGAAATCGAGCAGACGATATTAATACTGAAATCGAGGTGACGACATAAATACTGAAACCGTGCAGTCGGCATTAACACTAAAATCGGCCAGACGGCATTAATGCTGATATCGGGCAGACGACATTAATACTAAAATAGACAGACACCATTTATACTGAAATCGATTATAACATAAATACTGAAATCGAGCAGACACCACTTATACTGAAATCGAGCAGACACCACTTATACTAGAATCGAGCAGACGACAACTACCGCTGAAATCGAGCAGATGACATTAATGCTGAAATCGATTAGACGACATTAATACTGAAATCGAGAAGACGATATTAACGCTAAAATCGGTTAAACGACATTAAAACTGAAATCGAGCAGACGATATTAACGCTAAAATCGGTTAAACGACATTAAAACTGAAATCGAGCAGATGATATTAACGCTGAAATCGAGCAGACTACATTTAAACTGAAATCGAACAGACGACATTGATACTAAAATCGAGCAGACGATATTAATACTGAAATAATGCAGCCGATATTAATACTAAAATCGAGCAGCTGATATTGATACTGAAATTGAGCAGACAACTGGACAATAATAAAATGTTGTCATGATAGATTGTTTTATACTGGTTGCAAGAACCTTTATTTCCCACGTTTTGCTTAAATAAATAAGGTTTCATTTTCCCATGTCAGTAAACCCTTATTTATACTCGAAATTCGATGATTTTTTGATTTATGTTCATATTTAACATTTAAAAAGGAATGCGTTTTTGTACGAACATTCTTCATGCTAAATAACTATTATATATACACGTTGTTTTTGTGTTTAAACACAAGTAAATATATACTTATTCATAGAATTTCACGACTCACTTCCTCTTTAAATAAAGCATGCACTAAAAAGGTGTTTATCTATTTAATCTTTATATCTTTTCACCAGTATTTCAAAATTTTTATGGCGTCTTAACCTCAATACAGTAAATGTATGGTAGCTGATAAACGCCATCTCGTAATTTAACTTATTCGATGCAAAATCCGAGAAAAAACCATCAGAAATACGAAGGGTAGACAAATTACAGACTTTTTGTTTTGCCTTAAATGAAAAAAAAAGAAATAAATAAATGAAAAATCATTTCGTGTTCACATTTTAAAAGATATGTCATGGCCTCAATCAGCCACCATGGAATAGGGAAAAAAACATGAGGTATTGTGTTGCTTTCTTTGCGTGTCAAGGAATCCATATTAGTAATGATGCATTTTTGTGACGACTCTACGAAGTAGTGGTGACATACAGTGGTCACCTCTCCGTCGTCTGCCTGTCTGACCGTCACAAAACTTGTCCGGACTACTAATGGCAGGATCGGTAGGTCAAATTCTTGTGCATATTACACAGGTTTTTAAGTTGAATGATTTTTTTTGCCGAGGTATGGCTATCATGAGGGACACTTGACATCACTGATGGCCCTTGTTATAGAATATTTGTTTTACAAAATGTTATTCTTTCCATGTAAATACAAAACAAAGCGGTTTCATAACCCGATTGATTTTATTGTAGTGGTTGTAGTTGTCTGTTGTTTTTATTTCACCTATATATACAGTTAAACAGTAAACTTTTGTCCGTCTGTCTTCGGGGAGTATAGATTGTAAGAAAGTAAAGTAAATGTCCCTAAATTTAGGACAAGTAATAATCAGTTTCATTACATTTTAAGATCCTTCCTGCACCGAATACCCCATGAAAAAAGGGGAAAGACAAACAAACCAAACAACAACACTCATCATTTCAGCATCAACACATGAAGACACTTGAATCAAGATTGGCTGATAAAAGTTTGTTTCAATGTTATTCTCCTGTAGAATATATACAACGTCATGACTTAATTTATATGTAGTGTTAGTCGGTATACTCATACAATATACATGACTCATTAACGTTAGGCATTGCTAGAGAGAACATGTACATGTTTTCATCCACCAGCGGCGCTGCAAATGTCGTCAGATGACCTGATCACATGGTAATTTTGTTCAGCCTCATTCCAGTACTTTTTATACTTCCTCTTCCTGGTCTATAAATGAGCCGTGTCACGACAAAACGAACATAATGTGTTTGCGACCAGCATGGATCCAGACCAGCCTGCGCATACGCGCAGTCTGATCAGGATCCATGCTGTTGCTATCAGTTTCTCTACTTGTAATAGGGTTGGTTGGCGAACGGCATTGACTGCGCGGATGCGCAGGCTGGTCTGGATCCATGCTGGCCGCAAACCCACTATATTGGTTTTGTCGTGACGCGGCTCAAATATCTTTTGGTTTTTGCCATCTTTAAAAAATCAGTACGATTTAGTATTATTATTCTATACAAATGGTATGAAAGGCAAGGATATGGTTTTAATACCACAAAGATAAACATGTACTTTACGATTATTTTAGCCATACTGACTAGTCCACGTACTGAAACAAATGTTCAAATGTTATTTTTTTATACTGATGGCAAATTAATCGTTTTCTCTCCAATATTAGTTACAAGTGAACTGTTGAGTGGCATGGGGTAGTGCGGTATAATGCGGGATTTTTTTAGATTTTGTCGGCCATCGTATTGCCGGGTTTTGTTTTGTCGTCAATGTTTACCCGCTCACAACCCGCCTCCTCCAATAATATTAAATGACGTCAAGACCTTGGTTAGATCACGTGTGAAACTTGAAGATCTTAACGATTCCATCATGGTTGTAAATGAATATTTTACTAAGGAAATTTTCACCAGAATGTTTGAGTTTTTTTTTGCATCGAGTCGTTAGGTTTTGCTTTTCTATTCGAAAAAGAACCGAAAATTACGAATATTACCGGTGTATTACGGAATGGACCGAAAAGGCCCGGTTGATACAGTTTTGGTTTGCAAAGAATAATGGAAGGAGTCACCTATCTTTGATTCATAGAATAGAGCATGGACCATATTTTACTTAAAACATAAATCTTTAATTTTAGCTTGATCGCGATAAAAGCTTAACACTTATTTGAAGATCCCCACAGGCCAACCATAACCGGAAACACTATCGTGACGTCAGTGGGATTTCAATTCCTTGGGTTGACAAGCTGTGCATTTTAGAACACCGTCAGCTTAAAAATATAAATGTAACTATATATACTTTTATTAAGAAGAAGTAACCATTATAAGCCGAATTCATTCTTCATGTATGATCGGCCTATTCCGCCATTGTCCGTATTCGTATTCTACGTACAGACGGCAAATACACAAAACGCAACAACAAGAAAGCAACAGTGATATAACAGCAACAACGATAATAAAGCAGCAGCAGCAGCAACAACAACAACAACAACAGGAATAAAACAATAATAGCAACAAAAACAAAGTAACAGCAAAAGTTAATGTGATTCTCTAATGGAGAAAATTAATAATACCACTTTTTTAAAACGTATTGCAACATCAAATCAAAGAGTGTAATAATGTAAACTTTAACCAGTTTGAACAACGGCAAGAAAAAATCTAGTTTTTATCATCGATTGAATCACACGGTAAGTTTAAAAGATGTGTGTAGCTCTTTACAATATTTTTGTAATATATATATTTAATAATAAAATGTTATTTGACACTTTTAATTCATTTCATTTATAAAAAGGCTAGGTATTGTTTACAATGAATTAATAAAAAAGAGAGAAAAAAGCAAGTTTTTCAACACGAAAAATCATTACGACCAAGTCATTATCTAGGGTATACGCGGACGAGAGTTATTCAGTGCATACATAACAGGAAGTGGTTGAAACACTACATACAAATGTACTCGTTATTTGTAAAGGTACAGTCGAAAACAGTAGGTCAGTTATTTATAAAGCTGGCCTTTTTGTGTGAAATGTAGTTCATGCTATTGTTTTCATTTCTTAAAGTTCTTTGTTGCTTATTTTCTATGCACATAAAGCGGTTCATTCTGTGAGGTTAATAAAAAACTGGAAAATGGCGTATACTGGACCAGTTGAGACGCCCCTGGCGTTTAATACCATTTACGAAGTGGATGATTTAATTAAATTCTTGACAAAAACACAGATGGACTTGGATACTCGGTTTGACGTCATAAGCGGCATGATCAAAGGTGTCGAGGTGGACGAACGCGGACATTTGCGGTTTGATAATATACGAAAAATGCTTGAAAATGTTGTGACCCTTTGCGAGGACATTGCTTTGTCGATGGGGCTGTTCAGCCACGCGTTGGTGAAGGTAAGATTCTTCATTGTTTTAGGGTAATCATTAAAATTAATTTTTGCTTATTTAACATTTCGAAGTTGAAGGAAATTCTATTGATATATATACACTCAAGAAGATGAAAACACATAATATCATTGAAGTGTCTAACATGGTATTTGACGAGGATTTTACCATGCAAATGATCGTGGAATTCGTCGGGTATGTTCATGGTTACGGCGTAAGACCAGTAGAATGTGGACGGAGTTCATTATCCAAAATTTATTTTTGCTATCTCTCTTTCCCACGTTTGTTTCTAATGACTCAAATGCGAAACCGAAAGTAGAATAATTAAGTGTTTTATTAAATCGGCAAGGCTCAATTTCGCCCACACATTTTAACTTTCTTTCGATTGGTTCAGCTATCTTTGATAAAGGCCGAATTCTTGTGGTTTTAACATTTTTGAACGAGCACGGATGTTTAAGATGTCAACAAAAGCGGCTTTTAACGTGTTCATAAAACATCTGAGTGTATGAAACCTTCGATAATAAATCTCAAATTCATTATACTACACTCCAATAAGAAATATATAAAGGAAACATGATCGGACTGACCGGAAAAAAAACAAACAAAAAACGCGTCAATAACATGAACTTTTAAAATGTGCTTTTACTTAGGCAACAGAAATTACATGTAGCCTAAGAAATCATCAAATACGCTTCGGCACTGACATAACATGATAGGCAACAGATACGATGATAACAATATATCACATTGTTTGCATAAAATATGCTATGAATTTGCTGCAGTTTAGAATTATTGTCAGCTACATATATTTTTGTGAAGTCAAAGTGGCTTTAATACTGCCGTGAGCAAGTGGGTAACTACCACCACTACCACTAAAAGAGTCAGTTTTGTTTCCGTCAGTATTATTTTCACTCCTCAGATATCTGGTGCTAAAAATAATTTGATATTTCTATGAAACACGCAGAAAAGTATTTGAGAAAAAAATGTGTTTTAAATTAGTCTGAACATGTTTGTGAATGGGAGGGAACGAGGTAGTAAGGGAGCGAGGTATAAAGGGAACGAGGTATGAAGAGACCGAGATAGAAAGAGAACGAGGTATGAATAGACCGAGGTAGGAAGGGAACAAGGTAGAAAGGGAACGTGGTATGAAGAGACAGAGGTAGGAAGAGAACGAGGTAGGAAGGGAACGTGGTATGAAGAGACCGAAGTAGGAAAGGAACAAGGTAGGAAGGGAACAAGGTAGAAAGGGGACGTGATATGAAGAGACAGAGGTAGGAAGAGAACGAGGTAGGAAGGGAACGAGGTATGAAGAGACCGAAGTAGGAAGGGAACAAGGTAGAAAGGGAACGAGGTAGGAAGGGAAACGAGGTAGGAAGAGAACGAGGTAGGAAAGGGAACGAGGTAGGAAGGGAAACGAGGTAGTAAATACATAATAGTGCACATATGAGCCGTGTCATGACAAAACCAACACAATGGGTTTGCAACCAGCATGGACCCAGACCAGCCTATGCCTCCGGGCAGTCTGATCAGGTTCCATGCTGTTCGCTATCAGTTTCTCTACTTGTTTTAGGGTTGTTAGCGAACAGCATTAATTCTGATCAGATTGCGCGGATGCGCAGGCTGGTCTGGATCCATGCTGGTTGCAAACCCATTATGTTGGTTTTGTCATGACGCGGCTCATATATTGATGTGTGTATCATGTAAATATGTGAACAGAGCGAATAACAACCAGCCGAATCACCGATTCTTTGGCTTACTGGTCTTGTGCATTGATTTCGTTGATTAGAGAGTATCTTATTTCCAGAAACAAGTTTCAACAAAAGCAGTAAGATATGTTACATTTACTAAACCACGCGAAATAGTAAGGGATATGTTTAAATAAACTCGCGTTAACATATATCGCAATCTTTTCAAAAATAACATAATATTTATATTTCTGCATAATCATGTTTATACAAAACATACACAAAAATGTTTGATTTTCTTCTACTTTTAGAAAAAGCTCATTAAAAGGAACACAAGCCTTCCTCAAATAACATTAAGGAGAGATAAGGATCCGAAGAAAAGTAAGTAAAATTTAGAGAAAATAAACCCTAAACAAAGAATTTTAACAAACAGTTCACAAATTTGTTCATATATTTATTTTAATATCATATATATATAAAGTGGACATGTTGCAAGTTGAGTACGAAAAAAACGTTAAGCAAACATATTTATTTTAAAACAACAACAACAACAACAACAACAGCATCAACAACAACAAAAGCAGCAGCAACAACAGCAACAACAGCAGCAGCAGCAATAACAACATCATCATCTTCAACAACAACAACAATAATAACATCATCATCATCTTAAACAACAACATCATCATCATCATCATCATAGTCATCAACAACAACAATAACAACAGCAACACCAGCTAAAACTAACAATTGTTGTTTTTATCAAAGCTGTATAATCATTTTCTATTATTATCTTTATTGATGTATTATAATGTATTTCCAGGAGACAGTGGAATAGATTCTGAAAAGGGTAATTTTTATCTACTCCATTTTTATTTTGATAGAAAATATATATCATATTTTAACTTAAATTTGTGTTTTTTATGTCAATGAATAAGACCATTTATTTCATTGCCGTAAAAATGTACATCTTCATATAATTATGTCATAGCATTGGAATTGTTTTTCCGCAATGGCCTGGAATAACTATGATTTTGCCATGGAGAATACAGTTCCCATGGCAAAATACAAATTATGAATGCATTTTTCGTTATTTTCAAATGTATAGAGAAACCGGCAATGTGATATTATGACTTTCAATTAAATAATAATTAATAATTACAACAACCACACCACCAATAACAACATTAGCAGCATCAGCAAAAACAACAACAGTAACAACAGAAACAACATCAGCATTTTTAATGCAACCAATCAACAGTCAAAACAACAACAAAAAGTGAATCATGAAAAAGAAAAGAATGGAAATAAACTTTAAAATGGATGGTGAGAACACACTTTCAAAAACACACACACACACAAAAAAAACGAAAAAAATATGAAATAGATTCAAACAGATGTACACGAAAAAAGAACAATTTTATTATACAAATTATTTATTCTGCGATCTTTCATTGGGATAAACCAATTTTCTCAAGAAGTTAGCTATTGAACTCGTCAAAATGTCGGAGAACAAAATTTTTTTGTGGAACACAATTCAATAATTATTTGTTTCCTGAGTTTTTCGTAACAACAATTGCAAAAAGATGCAAAAACAAATGAGCCGCGTCACGACAATACCAAAATAATGTGTTTGCGACCAGCATGGATCAAGACCAGCCTGCGCATCCGCGTAGACTGATCAGGATCCATGCTGTTCGCTATCAGTTACTCTATTTGTTAAAGAGTTTGTAAGCGAACAGCATGGATCCTGATCAGACTGCGCGGACGCGCAGGCTGGTATGGATCCATGCTGGTCGCAAACGCATTATGTTTGTTTTGTCGTGACGCGGCTCAAATAATAACCATGTCATCTATCATTACTCTATAACACTATATTTTGCAGTGTCCGCCAACTGGAGCTATGCCTCAGAAATGTCTTTGATGAATTCAGAAAATGTAAGTATTTCAGTGTGCCGATTTTCATATTTATAACTTATCTTCACGGTTTTATTTTATGAAGGGTTTAATACTGCATAAACCACTGCTAGGGTACATTACAGATGCCACGCAATTGAATGTATTTAACATTCGCAACTTAGTTGTTCGCTGATTGAGTTCTACTGCCCTCTACCTATATTACTTGCAAGTATAAGCTCTACAATATACTAAATTTAATGAAAATCTTTTAAAGAAGGAAAAAAATCTCTTGTATAATGGTAACATAGACCCTTATTTTGCACTCGAGAACTGCGTTTTAACCCTTAATCTACATTGTGTATTTGAACTGAAAGTGATAAGTTTTGGTCACTAGCATAAAACCCGGCGAGTCTGACTAGGCCCTTTACTGTTTGCTGACTACTAGTACTTAACTGAATTTTCAGCTTGACCCCCCACCTAAAAGATACCAGTATAAATGGATAATTCCAAAATTGCAAAATTGATAAATATATTTTAGAAATTCAGCAGGTTATGGGTTATGAATAGTATGATTGAATGGCATTATTCAAACATAGCCCTTTTTAAAAATGATTGAAAATATACGGTCATAGAGAAGGTATTTCTATCACATTTTCAATGAATTTATTTCATAGCGGCTGTCAGTGTTCGAAGAAGAGGGCTCTAAAGCTGCAGCTCAAATGAAAGTTAGTTTTAATTTGATATCACCAAGTCAGTCATCAGATGCCCTACAACAACAAGTAGAAACAGATGTAATATCATTTCCGGAAGACAGAAACGGAACATCACTTCCGTCAAATGAAACATCACTTCCGTCTAATGAAACATCACTTCCATCTAATGAAACATCACTTCCGGTCAATGAAAAGTCACTTCAGTGCAATGAAACTTCACTTCTGGTAGACAAAAAGTCATCTTCAATAGATAGAAACAGTAATCCACTTTCTGCAGATAAAAATGAATTTACTCCCCATGAAGATTCAAATGGAAATATGCTTTCCAATGGTTTAGATCACATGTCAGCCAAAGTTGAAAAAGAAAGTAGCAAAGTATATGTACATTTGATTCCAACTGATCCTTCAATAAACCTTTCGGTTTTACGGGAAAAATTGCTGAAGTTTTCCAATTCCATGATTCCTGAGAATATAAAACTGGAACTTGTGACGTCAGACATAATCATCGGCTTATCTCCACGTCATCTTTCATCGTCATCAGATAATCAAAGCAGCTTCGTAAAGAGCGGGTTTAGGACGTCAGACGAACCTCTGAGTGTCCGAGCTATTAACAACTTGTCGAGGTTTGCTGTTGAAAATTCAGAAACTTCTGATGATGACAACAGGTCAATTAGATTGGTAAGTAGATTTTTACCTTTACCGCTCAGTATTAAGTATCGACTATATGGTCGTCCAGTTCATTGAATGGCCAATAATGCCTCAGGAATGCTTTTATTTTTATTTCTTAAAAGATTTTTAATTTTCGTGTTCTTTGATGGTATCCAAAAATTAAAATTAACCATCCGCCAATTACTTGAACCATCTTTTTCATCTGTTGCATTTTGGCAATAAGTTCAGTTATAGTGTCTTAGTATGTTGTACCCCATGGGAGTCAAAATACTATTTTGTTTACGTCTTGATACCTCTTTGACAGATTTAGCGCCACTTTCATCAGAGCATCAGAACATTCTTTTGATATTATAAAAATCATGTTTGCCCTTTCTAAAGAAGTAAAAAAGATTTGTTTCTAAGATTTATAGTGCTTTTGATATACCATTTAGCAAAGTTGTTAAACAAATTTAATGCTTTTATTTCAATAAGCAGTTATAAACATAACGTTATTGCAATAAATATCAGTCATTGTATCACATCTTCATTGTAATATCATATGAGCCGCGTCACGACAAAACCAACATAACGGGTTTGCGACCAGCATGGATCCAGACCAGCTAGCGCGTCCGCGCAGTCTGATCAGGATCCATGTTGTTCGCTATCAGTTTCTCTACTTGTTATAGGGTTGGTAAGCGAACAGTATGGATCCTGATCAGACTGCGCGGATGCGCAGGCTGGTCTGATTCCATGCTGGTCGCAAACCCATTATGTTGGTTTTGTCGTGACGCGGCTCATTTATATAATTATTTGAAGTTTCAGGACAATGCTTTTATTATCTCACTAATTTACATGTACTAGAGACAATCAAAATCTCGGAATATCACTAATGAAGTAGAAGAGTTCATTATAAATGCAGTCTGTGAAATTAGGGTTTAAAAACTGTTGTCATTCGGGCAACCAATTCAAGAAAATCTGGTTGTCCGAAGTACAAACTGGTTACCCGAATATTATCATCAGAACATCTCCAAGCAATTATTGATCAAATTTGCAAACTTATCTTGACTTCAGTGAGAAATAGTCATGAATGTAAGCAAACTAATTGTATTTGATAACTTGCATTTTATTCCTATTCGTGGACATTTTGATTAATACATTCTGCAAGTTTTTACTTGTCCGTCGGGCAAGTACACTTTTAAAAATTGGTTGTCCGGACCAAAAAATGGTTGTCTCTGGCAAAAGGGACAACTGGTTATTTCGCAGAATGTAAATGAAACGGTCATATAAAAACAAACGGTGTATTTCAAAATATGTTCTGAATTAGAAATTCTTGAAACCTTTACTGAAAGGCTTCATCCACTGCTGGTCAAAATCGTGAATAAAAATTACTGAACCACTAACAGTTCAATTCTGAAGATTGACTTGAGACGGTTCTAGGGAGAGCGGTCTTCAGACAAGGATTTTCGGAATAACAGCAATTATCGATTTATGTTCCTACTGTTTCATTTTTTCATAATAAGACAAATAAATTAGCAAACTCACTTTGTTTATTGATTTATACTCTTATTTAAAATTATTCATTTATGAATCTTTATTTATTTTTAATATGATTTAATTTAATAATTTAATGTTTGATTTTTACAGATCTCAAGTTCAGATAGTGAGACCAGTATAAAGCGGTTTCATTTAAAGCCAGTTATTGTAAAGAAATCCGTTGAAACACAAACTGAAGGTTTAACTCGAACTGATGGATAAACTCGATCAGGAGGTTTAAGCCGAACTAATAGAAGGGTTAACTCGAACTGATGGTTAAACTCGAACTAATGGAGCTGATAGTTATGTTAACCTCGACATTTATAGTAGGGTTTACTCGAACTGGATGATAAACTCGAAATAACAGAGAGATAAACTCGAACTAATGGTTAATTCGAAATGATGGTTTAACTCGAAATGATGGTTTATCTCGAACATGGTTATACAATATTGCTTATGTTAAATTGAAAGTGGTTTTGGATAAACAATCTCAAATATTTTTAATGCTCATAATTTAATAAAAGTAGAAGATAAAAATTGATAACGCCGATGATATTAATACGAGGTTGATTTAAAATAAAAAAAGACTGAAGAAAAAAAAAACAACACAACAAAAAAAAACACATTTGTGTCAAATGATCATTGTCTGCATTGTTCGCTCTTCAGTCAGTACTTATTTTGAAATTGTCTCTAATACGGATTAATTGTTAAGTTCGAACCGAAAGTTGGAAAAATGGACAAAGCATTTAAGATATTTAGCGTAGCAAGTGTTAAAAGAAAGATAATTTAAGACGCGGAAGCAATTTTTCATTGTTCATTTCAGCCCGCAAAACAATTGTTTTATCTTGGGATATTTGTTATTATATATCAATCGGAGTTAAACCAATCTATTTTTTTTGAAAAGCTGTTGTTATATATAATCATTTACTCGTTGAAATTTAAGAGATAAAAATATGAAAATAAAAAAAAAATTGAGCTACTAGGAGTATAGGGTCTGGTGTAAGTTAGCCTGGCTCTATACTGGTCGGGCCGCCTCCGTGGTCGAGAGGTTAGAATCGATGACTTCTTATCCAGTTACCTCTCTGGCGTGGGTTCGATCCCCGGGAGATGCTTTGGTAGTTAAGCGCGGAGGAAGGTAGTCTAGTACTGGTGTAACTCTCCAGGAACGATGGTTAGGAAACTACCCGCCTATATGACTGAAATACTGTTGCGAAAAGGCGTAAAATGAAACTAACAAACAAACAAACAACTATACTGGTCACTTTCAGTTCGGACAGGTTATAGGTTTAATACTGAAAGAATGCAGATATGTTTTTATAAACAAAAATTATGTTTATTAATTTTCCAATTGAAACGAAAAATGTTTTGAAAAAGACGGGTATTTTTGGCTTATATATAAACATAAATTTATTTATTTATTTATTTTAAGCTTTTTATTTCTGGTGTCCTGTAAAAGTTCCCGAAAATTTTACTGATTACCTGAACCATTTGCTTTTGTTCCTTCTTGGAAATAATTAAGTACAGTTTTAGAAATAAGATCTATATATATTTTTTAATATGTTGCTTCTTAATTTTATTACAAAACAAAATCATATTTAGTTCTATTTTCTTGAGGTGATTAGCATATAACATATTCTTAAACCATTAATGAACGTTTTTATATGTTTCATGTTTGCCCTTTCTAAAAGAAAGATACATTTATTTGTGTCGAACGCATAATATGCCCATTAACACACGCAAACACTGCCGTCGTGTCATAAAACATTAAAGTGTAGAGGGAAAGTCAGTTCGCGAAATAACAAATTTATAAGCTCTACATAGATAAAAAGATATTCCTTGATTATCACAAGTGAGATAAGATTATTTTTAATTTTAATTCCTTTTCCCCCATTTTTTTGCTTGAATACCAATACGTGACAATTGGCATTTTTATAACAAAAACTTCGTTAAATGATCAGATTACTTCAATTTATAATTTTTTTAAATGTTTGTAAAGTTAAAGTACTAAATAACTAATAACTTAATATATAAAAATGATTAGCAAAGACACAAATAACTCCATAAGTGTCAAAAGCGCAAATATCATTAAATTAAACAAGCGTCAAAGGAACGATTGATATATAAACATCTATGTAAATAAAGGAAATGCTTGCCCAGTTGTGCCATCATCCCATCCCTTTAATTAAAAAAACCTAAATCAACTCTTTATGATAAAGAAATAATTATAAAAAGATAATAATGAATTGACCTTATATACCAATAATAAACAAGGTACCTATGTTTTTACAGGTATTGAGGGTCAATTTATTATCGCTATTTTTTTAATTATTTGTATATCATAAAGGGTTTATTTAGTATTTGAAAAAAAGTTTCACTTTTAAAGGGAAAGATAGAGTAACCCCAAGACTGAAAGAGCACCTGTGCCCATTTGTGCCACCAGTGTTATGCATGCAAATTTGGACAAAAGGAGGACCAGAAGTCCACTGATTATAACTATACCGGAACATGCTGACGATAACATTTACAACTTATTATACGTTTTTTTGTAAAAACGAATATTTTTTGTCAAAACGATTTGAAATCTATTCTCTATTGAATAAATCTAACAAAGAAAAAATCAATCGTAAAAAAACTAACATTGGCTCTCCCACGTGGAGGAAATAAAAGTATCTATCTATCATATTGAAGGGAAACAAGTGTGCACATTTCATTTCCACTTTTTTGGCAGAATGAGTCATTCGTTTTGGCAAAGCAGCTTTATAGACAAGTAAATGCACTAAATGCACCAATTAATATGCATGTATCAACTATGTTACACCTAAAATATCTATGTCACTTGTCCATTGATCACAGATATACCGACAACACAGGATGCGCTATCTGTAGATCAGCACGTGGTAAAGTTAAACCGATAAATCAAGTAAAAATAGAAATCCAATTTATAGAAACAAACTGGGATTGATTACGGAAGTTACTAAATATAGCTTAGATTTCCGTGATATTACTTTGTCTGATTCCGCAGTATGACGGGATCGCCCGAATTGTAAACCTAGACTGGTTTCCCGTTCCACCATCCACTAACACATGTAAGCAGGAAACCACCTTACCGGAACAACTTTTCTTAGACAATTGGCTTGGCCGCAAGCCAAAAATCGCCAAAGGAACGCAAATGAAAGCACAAGACTGCAACTTTACAGAGAAAAGGTTGTGTAATGGTGTTGCCCTGTTTTAAATCTGGAATAATCCATTCGAAATAGAAATGATTTAATATCAAATTGAGCTAACAACGGTATGGAACCTGACTGTACATGCTCACCTTACCTATACTATCACTTCCGGTTCAAGCTGACCTGGCTCTATACTATCACTTCCGGTTCCGGTAGGTAAAACGTTCATTGCAATACTTGATTTTATTTCAAGTGAATTGGTCTATAATGGAAGGTCTTAGATACCACCAATAATAGCGAGCTCGAAGAGCAGGCCCTAAAGCGAGCTTTTCGGTAACGCGAGTACGTGTTAAAAGTGATGGTTTATAAAAAACTTTCATGCGGAGTACTGTATTGACACATCCTATCTTTTTGAATTACAAGATAACGATAAAAAACGATTAATTCTGACTTGAAACGGATGTCTACGCATCCGCGCACTTATATGGGAACCATAATGGGACAGGGCACCAGAAGAACGGAAGCAGTCCATAAAATACCGAATGATAGTTTTAAAAAGGAAATGTAAAATGAAAATTGAACGTTTATTTCATACTATTTCACGGTAAAAGGAAATCGAGCTCGCTTTTTCATACTAATGTTGATACCATTCAATGGTTTTGTCGTGACGCGGCTCATATATGGATATTGTTGGTAAGTAAAAGATAAAGGATTCAATATGGCATATATACTTTTAATATATACTTAATATGAAATTAGGTGCTACCTATGGCGCGGAAAGCTCTTATGAATTATGATTTTAGCAAAACATATTTAGTGTACATGTAAACCAGATCTTTCTTGGAAGTATTTTGTACCATAAACAAAACGAATAAATTGGTGGTGTTCAACCTATCATCGGAGCGCTCGAAATATTCTGCAAATCTCCAAACGTAAAGGCGGACCACTGCGCATGTGTCAGCGTTTGGAAAATCCCGTCCGCCATTTTGTTAATCTCTAATCACAGTTGTTATTTTAACGTTATTTTTAATGTGCTAATTTATCAAAAATGATATGTTAAAGTAACTTTTTAAATTTATTATCGTTACTATAGTTCTTGTCAATGAAATGCATGTTTACTTTCTGATTTTGCACATTATTCTTTCACCGGAAGTCTTATTTAGCATGCGTCTGCTAGCAATAGTCTAAATTATGTAAACGCTCATTAAAAGCGTTCTGAAATCTATATTTAGCTCAAAAGGATTTCAAAATGGCGGCGCCCAGTTAACTAAGGATTTTTTCACAGCTCATTAGGTATAGGCTATATATTTTTTTGAAATTTTCATTTAGTTTTAATTTGATTTCATTTCAATTGATACGTGTCATACATGTTATCTAAGAGCGCTACAGCCGTCGCGGGGCCTTCGGCCCCGCTCGGACTTTCCGCGTATGAATGAAATAGTGAGAAATATTGACCCGTGAAATATCTATTTTTTTCATACCACTTGATGAAATAAATCCCGTATTTATAGAATTATCTTGAATATGCTCTATATAGCAGGTGATAAATTATTCCAGAACAAAATATTATTATTCATCATATCAAATGTTTATATCAAATCACTTAGAACTTTATCAACATGTTTTTTTCCCAAGGAATATTTCATAAAAATGTTAAAATGATACATTTTACTTTTGTTTTTTCATCAGTATTTGAAGTACTTATGGAAAATGTACCAATTGTAGACAAATTCACTTTTAATCGTAGTTGGGTCTTTTTAATACCAATTTTGTTCCATATTATGCAACTGCTTTTCTCATACATGTATTTTTAAAAATATTTTTTATATTAAGATTTGCGTAAAATACCCTTAACTAACATACACGCAATTCAAGTACATGTCAGTGTGTTTTTTTCTTGTTTTTGTTTTTGTACTGTATAATACTTTTCAGTTCGTCAATTTTTGTCATATTTATAAACTATGTCGCTTTTCATGCATCTACATGTATAAGAAAGAAAACATTGTCAATCAAATCTTCCTTGTATGATATATATTTTTCGGGTATGACAAACCAAAGTGCACATGACTACAAGGAAGTGGAAAAAAAGTAGTTCAGATATATTCACGTCATTTTTATCAAAGTGATTCAGAAATTGAAATCTATTTCAAAATTTTATTTATAATAAAATATAATTCTTTCTATGTTTATTTTGATACCTGGATGTTCAGTGGATTTGTGTATGAAGTTTGATGGCTAAAATAAGTGAAAAATTTAGAAAACTGTAAGTAATATATGATATTACAATATAAGATTATAAACCGTGTTCATATTTAAAAAAAAATATGATTAGATTTGAAGAGTAGACGCTGAGATAAAATATAGACAAATATTTCGGTAAGGAACAATATCTAATACAGTGTTATGATTGTATAATAATTGAATGACACTTAAAGAAACATGGCATCTCACTCCGACTCTAGCAAAATCTTCGGGGAGGCCATTTCCGACACAACTTCAAGCGTTCAACATGCTAATCAATCCGTTGAAGCATTGATGGGTCAACTAGTTGATGGAGTAGATGGACGGCCTAGAAAGGTGGACGAATTTCAAAGACAGGGACTCATTGATTTGACTATACAGCTAAAAGATTTTGGAGATAAATCAGAGAAGTTTCAAAATGATGCGCAGGAGGTTTGTATAGTTTAGTTTAATTCTATGTATTTTTATTAGTTGCGATAAAAGTTTAAAGCCTATTTGAACTCTACAGTCCGCTATTATTGATATCATGTGATGACAACGCCCACGCCCCAAATAGGGCTCGAACCTTTTTTTGTACAAGAACATTAAGTACTATCACTGCCAGGCTAATAGGGCTGCTCCAGAATGAAGAATTTTTTTTTCGAGGAATTTTCTCAGAGTTCAAACAAACTTTTACAGGTACAACATGGTACATAATCTTATTTTTTTTCTTATATCAACAATATGCGCAAAAACGTTCATCACTGTATTGTGTACATGTTGTAGTGCACGGTGAAGCTATTACTGTAAAGGTTATTAAGATCTGGAAAACCCACATTCTCTTGTTCCAAAAAACATCTTTATCATGCAGCTTCAATGTTTAAAATGGTTCAGAGACTTTATGTTATATAAATCTCCGTGAAGTCTAAACACGCATTTTGCATAAAATGTTTTAACAGTGAAATTATTGTGTAATACAGCTATTAACGCATTTTTGTTGATATATTCCGTTCTTATAAACATCTCATTTACACTACCACCACAGGTTTGATCCATATATAAAGATATTTGAAAAAAAGTAAAAAGATAGATCTACACAATTCAAGTAATAATTTACGTGTTATGTGCCATTAATGACTTATTTTGCAGTATTACCACCATATTTTTACTGCGTTACTCACGCAGTAAGGGTTATTTTTACATATTTTGGGCCCCTTGGTTATTTACATGATTTGTAAGTCCGTTTGCAATGCCGCTTCACAATACTTTTTTTACTTTTTAATACATTTTTTATGAAAATTTGTATGAATATGGAGGCATGACAGTATCAATTACCAATATACTTTTAAAAGAAAGAACAACTGCCATCACCACCACAACTAATACCATCACCACCAATAACACCAATAACACCAACAACTTCAACAACAACAACCACCACCACCCATACTCATCAACAACAATAGCATCAACAATTGACGATGACAACAAGAATGACTGAGGAATAGTTATATCAACTATTTATACCATGTCATATTTGTGACGGGAGATCCGAGTTTCTATTCTCCAAAGAAAAATACTACACGTATACTGTTACTTTGTATGGCTTTATTACATATCATAATTATCTTGAATATAATATGAGCCGCGTCATGACAAAACCAACATAATGGGTTTGCGACCAGCATGGAACCAGACCAGCCTGCGCATCCGCGCAGTCTGATCAGGATCCATGCTGTTCGATTACAAACCCTATTACAAGTAGAGAAACTGGTAGCGAACAGCATGGATCTTGATCAGACTGCGCGGATGCGCAGGCTGGTCTTGATCCATGCTGGTCGCAAACCCATTATGTTGGTTTTGTCATGACGTGGCTCATATTATTTTTCTCTTGAAAGGCTTATGGTTTCAATACAGTTGAACTGCGTTTTCCTAGAGGAAGAGCACGTAAGTCAGTAACTTTCTTATGTTCCGATATTTTACCACTTTTTGATCGTGCAAAAAAAAGAGAGAGAGAAAAAAAAAGCGCGAAACAATCGACGATTACATTCCTTTCGTGCGGATATATAAGTAGTGTATAACAATTTTACCTATATTTAACCTCTCACATTTCAAGATTTATATCAATGATAAGCGTCACATTTATTTGATTTTGTTCAATCCATTTTTACTTCGGCAAAAGTTTTCTCAAAATCAATATACAGATCAATAATTGATTTTTAAGAAACTCCATTTAGGTCCAGTCACCCGAAAATTAAATGAAACAAAATGAAATTGCTACAAAGATGAACTGGGAAACTATGCTTATCAATATACTTAAAATAACCGGTTTTTCTGTATTATCTCGATTTGAGTTTATAAAAGTGTATGTAAACGCTTTTCAATTTTGGGGACTTTCTGCACCAAACTGGAAAACCAGTTTGGGCGAAAATGGTTTTTGAAAAATGTGCATAAAAGCTATTTGACAATACCGTCACAATTT